TATGGATCCAATTGGGTCCGAATTTACGAATTAAAGTCGATATACTGCTGCTGTTTAGCGTATTGCTTTATTATCAATTTTTATTGAAACAATCGTATTCTAAGCCACATTTTTAGTGGGTGTGGCTCATTTTTTCCCGCCACGCCCTAAACCGGGCCCTTGAGTCTTCTAGCCACCCTGCGATTTTGACGCCAGCTGCCCCTGGTTTCGAAGCTGCTTATATCTTGCCCATAGTGCTGGATCTCTCTCAGCCCGTCTCTTAATATGGTCTCTCTCGCACATCAAATTCTTGATGCTTGGAGAAATCCATGGCACATGTGTATGCCCCGTCTTAGCGGTCCTTTTTTTCAACGGGGCATGCACATCAAAGACAGCGAGAAAGAGATCGTAGAAATTGCTAGCCATCCTATTAGGGTCATCCGATCTACATGACATAGCCATCTCCCAGTCAATACTACGCAAGTCATTAAGGAAAGAGTCACGGTCATAATTTTTCAAACTGCGTGACTCTGTCTTAAATTTCACGTCATTGACATGAACTCTAGCGTTTAATTTTCTAATACCGTAATACTATATTTCTAATATAGTGATCTGTAATACCGATTTTTACGACCGATACATTACAGAGGTTGTTGGGTCTGTTTGAAGAAAGGTGATCTATTAACTAAAAAGTTTTATTAGGCTCTTTATCTTTCTTTTAGTTAAGCTAAGTGAGCTTCTGCTAGATGCCCAGAGCATCATAGGGCAACTGATAAATTATTACTGAATGTTTTATCTTCGATAAGATCAAATTACGCAATTTACAGCAATGCTGACATTTACAGGAGATGTTTTGTTTTTGGTTCTGGGCATTTCGCTTTATTTTAAGTTTTGATAAGAGAGTCTTTCCGATGGTTATACGAGAATTACAATACATGAACTCTATATCGAACTGACGAGGAAAATTCACATTTTGTTAACAAAACAGGAATCTGGGATAGACATTTTCACCTAGCCGCAAATAGACATTTTTACAAATCCCAAAATTCAATACTGCACATTTTCGAAATCAATACTGCACGTTATTAAATTAATACTGCACAAAGTGTGTAATACTGCACACTAGAATAGGCCCTGGAAAGAGCATTATCATTCAAGAAAGGAACATGCACAAATTACATAACAAAATATAGGCAACATTGGAAAAATCCTCTTCTCCTTAAATTATCATCTTATTTGCATCATTTATTGATCATTATGACCGTAAACATTTGTGTGAACCCCCTCCCTCCATCTTTGATTAGGTAATATGTGAACGTTCCCCATACCCAACTGCCAACGCATCGATAATCTTATCCAGATACAACCATTCTGAATGGAAAGAACATAGGATTGTACTCAGTTAATGCTTCAATGAGAACCCTCTCAGCTATTCGATATCAGGCATTTGAAATAATTCGCATTAGTCATAAGTGAAGAAACTAATTTGCGCTGGTCATAAGTCTTGGTCAATCACAAGTCTTGGGCGTTTTTGAAGATTTCAAAAAACCATTCAATAAAAAATACAATTACGAGGAATTAGCAAAAACTGGTGAAAATTTGATATATCATTGATATAGTTTTTCTCAATTTAATGGTGAAGCTAAACTAAACTGTAAAATCTATGACGCCCGAACCATAACCAGGCGAACTTTTTATGCAAATGTTCTTTCGAGAGGTCAATTGATGAATGTAATCAATTTTAGTTCTGTGCGAATATTGATAATTGCCTTTCGAAAGTTTTCAAGTTTTTTGAAAAATATAACTCGAAGCAAGGACGTACCGGCAAATTTCGCCGTGTCCTGGTGGGCCGAGAAGCGATGGGTGGAGAAAAACTGTGTATAATTTTTCGCAGGTAGAAGGCTAAAATTTGGTGTATCATGCAGAGCAGTGAGAGATCGCTTCCAGAATATTTCCACCAACAAAAAGTCCAAAGATAGAAGAGAAGAAAGTGCAAGTGGAATTAATCCTGAGCACACAGAAAAACATGTTCTCCTTGCAAGATAAGGGAGCTTTTTGATGCAGCAATCGCTGATAAGCAAGCAGCATCCCAGCAAGTTAAAGAAAAATGAACAGCAGAAATGGAAAAAGCTGTAGAAATGAGAAGGAAATCAGTAGAAACAATTGGAGAAAGCAGGAAGGGAAAGGAAGGGGAGGTAAAAAATGTAAGTGAAAAGAAACGTAACGTTCGGCAGAAAAAATCAGAGTTGACAGTTGACTCAATCCAGGCTGACTCACAATTGTAATTTTCTAAAGGTATTATCAGTCATTCTATCAGTTCAATTTTGCTCAATGCATTCTAAACAACAGGTTACACCATTCAATCTTTTCCTATCTTGGGTACAGTTAAAATTTAGCTGTAAGTCAGCGCTTTGAGTTATTTTTCTCCGATCGCAGTAGCTGCCTAAGAAATTCACCATATCTTTGAAACGCGTTCAGATTTTTATGAGTTATTAGTTTCTATAGACTGAACACTGAAGCAACGAACGTCCTAAAGAAATCAGATTTGTTGATTTTCTTGATTACTTAGATAAAATATGAATCAAGATTATGGACAAAAATTTGCATAAAAAGAAGCATAAATAAAGGATATTCCTGAGAATTCCCTGGGAGCTGGAGAAATCCCAAACGAGGCAAGGTACCTTTCAGAGTTGTTTTAATGTTCGCAACTTTATAAAAATATAATTTTCGCAACTTTAGATCTTCAAATTTTTTTGATAAAAATGAAATTATGCCCTTTTGCTTTGCTCTCCTTTTCAAATGAATGTTTAGCGAAGGGCGGGGGGAGAGGAATGTGAGAAGTGACGTCATGGGCAATATAATAGAGGGGTTCAGAGAGATGGTGACACAGGGGGGCGGGGGGCCTAAAAATCTTTAAATTATAGGTGATGTCATTAAAACATGACCCCCTCATGAATGTCCAATGTCTTGACTCGGCCCGGGCTGACTCGGCCCGGGCTGACTCGGCCCGGGCTGACTCGGCCCGGGCTGACTCGGCCCGGGCTGACTCGGCCCGGGCTGACTCGGCCCGGGCTGACCCGGCCCGGGCTGACTCGGCCCGGCCTGACTCGGGCCTGACTCGGCCCTGCCTGACTCGGCCCGGCCTGACTCGGCCCGGCCTGACTCGGCCTGACTCGGGGCTGACTCGGCCCGGCCTGGGGCTGACTCGGCCCGGGCTGACTCGGCCCGGGCTGACTCGGCCCGGGCTGACTCGGCCCGGCCTGACTCGGCCCGGCCTGACTCGGCCCGGCCTGACTCGGCCCGGCCTGACTCGGCCCGGCCTGACTCGGCCCGGCCTGACTCGGCCCGGCCTGACTCGGCCCGGCCTGACTCGGCCCGGCCTGACTCTGCCCGGCCTGACTCGGCCCGGCCTGACTCGGCCCGGCCTGACTCGGCCCGGACTGACTCGGCACGGCCTGACTCGGCACGGCCTGACTCGGCACGGCCTGACTCGGCACGGCCTGACTCGGCACGGCCTGACTCGGCCCGGCCTGACTCGGCCCGGCCTGACTCGGCCCGGCCTGACTCGGCCCGGGCTGACTCGGCCCGGGCTGACTCGGCTTGGGCTGACTCGGCCCGGGCTGACTCGGCCCGGGCTGACTCGGCCCGGGCTGACTCGGCCCGGGCTGACTCGGCCCGGGCTGACTCGGCCCGGGCTGACTCGGCCCGGGCTGACTCGGCCCGGGCTGATTCAATTGGTTTCAATTGGTTTGAAATAATCATGTATCGTTAACGCGAAAGAGGGTTGAGCCCAGTTAACTTTTCTACTGCGCATGCGGAATAAGGTTGCGAATTGAAAAAGGCGCCCATTTTTTCTATAACTTTTTGCACAGCTTGTGCTTTCTATTAGACTTCAAGGTTATGGTAACCGTTTTCTGGAAATCTCTTGACCCGTTAAGCCGATTATCGTTGCTTTGCGGTTGTGGTCGCATGTCTCATTTACAATATCGCATGGCACATCAATGTATCCAATGTATGACTGTGTTTATTCAAACAGGCTTGACTGTGTTTGAAACTCTGAAAGGGTGGCAAAATATTTAGGTGTCAAATGATGTAAAGTGAATTGTAGATATTGAAAGTTAGACTAAAGCACAAAGCCTAAAGCCATTTTTCAGTTAGCGCGACACTATCTTCCAAGATTTTACAAAGAAAGCAACTTCTCTTTCCAGCGTAGGAGACGATATTATTTTCGATTAAACACGCAATCTTCTGAAATTTAGCAAAACGCCTCTGCTTGTAGTTAAACAAACGAACATTTGCTTATGCTCTCTTCGGCGATCGTACAAAGTTCTGTTTTATTCCTTATTCTTTGCCCAAATTACCAAGCAAACTATTGAAACTATGGCAGAATATACCGAACAGCACAGCAATGGCTTTTCCTCTTGCCAGGGAACCAATGCTGCAGTAAGTCGTTCTGGTGTTGTGCTTAGGCAAAAAGCTAGACAAGAAAAAAACAATTCGCTCTTGATGGAGGAGAAGGGGAAATGGGCCTCGAGCGATGTACAATTGACAAGAAACATCGGTCATTGTTTTCAACTTGAGGGGAATTCGGTTGGGATTGATTCGTTGATTGGTAGAGCTAGTGATTATTCTTGGTGCTTGGTTGAAGAATAATCGTGGTCGTGGATTCCCGACAACCATACGGTTGTGGATGTACAAGAGAGATGATACTTTCTTCTCGTAGTTTCTTTTGTTATTTTCATTTGTAGTAAAAATCTACACTGCAGTGCCCAGGACACGGCTGGCTCAGAGCCACATGTGCCCTTCAACTTCTACACTGACATCTCTTTTTCTCCCCTCAATTTCTTTAGATTACAACTCTATTTTAAGGTACATTTTACTGGTGGTACGATCAGATAAATATAATACCTGGATCTTAACAGTCTTACAACAGGTCCACCCAGGGCACTAAACACCAGGTATGACCCTCACGTATTTGGCCATTTTGCTATTGAATTTTCTCCGGAGGCCGCCAAAAGAAGAATAGCCCTTTCAGAAAAAAGTCAACTTTTGCTCTCTAATATTGATTCATCTAAAATTATTTATCTTTAATTTACATATTTTACATTTAGACATGATTATCAACATTCGGTAACTTTGATGGAAAAAATAATATTCACAATAGCCTGGTCTAAAATTTCCGAATCCATAAAATCGCAGAATGTAGGATTGCTAAAACACTCAGGTATGAAAACTAATGCCGGTTTCTGCTTTTCAGTTACGCGGGTTTTGCGTCTTAAGCATGTTTTCTGCGCCCAACGTTTAGTCTAAGACTACTCATATTACGTGGAACTATTTCTGAAGCAAATGGCCGCAGAGCTGAAATCGGCTATAGAATATTACTAGTCAGCAAGGACCCGATCATATTACAGACAATAATTAGTCTAAAACGCAACGCAACGATATTTAAACAACAACCTAGACGACTTATGTCGTTCTGGGGGGCTTGAAATGGGAGACTAAGGTAGACTAAAGACCTTTAGCATGACGTGGTAACAAGCACACGGTACAAAGTTCTTAAATTAGCGGAGGGTATTGGCCAGTGGTTCAATGATATAAAAATAAGAAGGGGTTTTCAAAACCATGTCTGAAAACAGAAGCAGAGGAATTTGACACCTTTTGCACTGAAAATAGGGGAGTAGCCCCATCTGGTCCAAAAAAAGCATCTTCGAGGAGAGGGCAGAAAAGCAGGTTAATGGAAACGTGCCGTGGCTCGCTCAAATAAACACTACTGTGACTAGGTTCGAAATATATTTACTTGGGTTCACTCTGAGACTGAATAATAGAGATTCTGGCACCCGGGGTAATGGAAATGCAGTAATTATAACCTTCTGAGGCAAATCTGCAGAACAAGTAATTTTATTGTAGCTTAACAAACCCTTGAATTTATATCGGATTTACTAATGGTACTTAATTTTCCTTGTTGCTAAATAAAGGCCCATGGCTATGTAAGAAAATGTCCCAGTGTTCCTTATATATTCTGAAAAATTTAAAACTGACGAAAATAGTTGCGTTAAAGAAGTCTACTTTAAAAAATTTTTTTTAATCATTCAAGTTTCATATTTTTCTGAAAGAAAAATTTTAACAAATATAAAAAATGGTCTTTATGCCATCTAATATCTATAATATTAATTAGAATTATGACTATTAATCTAAATTAAACGGCGCCCTAAGATTTAACGGATAATCAAATAATTACTATTTTGGCACACAAGATCATTAGATTACTAACGCAAAATAAATACTTCAAAACTCAAAATTAAATCAACCAAAATTAACATTTATCCACTGCATACTGTCAACTTCACGGACATGTAAGCCTTCGACACTGTCGTGCAAACTTCACAAACATAAATCAACATAACTCTTGACAAAAATGGCATCCTTTGAGGAAGAAAAACAATCCTAAGAACTTTGTCTTAAGCCGATAGTCCTATTTGAGATAGGGTAATTTCTTGTAACCTGTATACAGGCCAAAACGAGTCCCTTCGAGAACGAAGAACGAGAGATTCAAATGGGTATTGCATTGCTGGAACAGCTTGGCTATGGCATCACTTGACTGGTGAAACATCAAAGCTGTCTTTGAAATCCTTGCTTCAGTTAGCCACTGCAGTGTTACTACCCTCTACATCTACTTCGATGACAACGCCATTGGACGAAGAAGCAAGGCTACTGGTTACGTCATTATCATCACCAATATCAGCCTCTCTCATATCACTGTTGTCAAGGGAAACAACGACACTCTGATTCGGAGAGGGAGCGCCAACAGCACCTGCAAATAGGCCATTTCAGATTAAGTTCAATCACGGAATGATAGAAATGTGAGCACTGATTAGCAAACGCCATCAGTATTTTTGCTCAACAGCATCATGTTTATCTGAGCATTGTTGCGGATCTGATCCCAGGCGTTTGCACGGGATCCGATCCAAAACCATTTGCGTTCACCCGGATCCGTTCCAGATGAGATCAACAGATAACGCACATGCGCTTTTAAAAAAAATTGCGTGAATCAGAAGTTTTTTCATGCAAACTGTGGTTGAAAACAAACTGTCCAAACTGAACATGGGGAAGTTAAAGTCACTCACAATTCAACCTGAAAGAGCTGTTCGCAAAAGACAGACTATAAACATATTTCCTTAAGATTTTAGGATTCATCTTGACGATTGTTTTGTGTCACTTTCGAAAATAAATAGACCTGGTCTAGACCAGATCCAACCGTTTACACGGGATCCGGTCCACATCGGATATATACGGGATCACCTCTGCAAGCGATCCCAAAAGTGTTCGAATAGCGGATCCAAAAGTATACGGATCCACCAAATCCCGTGTAAACGCAAGGCCTATATCCGTACTCTTTTGGATCCGATCCGGATCCACTCTTTTATAAACCAGAAGTTGACTCAATATCATAAAGTAAATGGATAACGACCTTAGAATTTGACCACAGTGACACCACCATTAAACGGATAAAATATATTAATAATAATAAGTAATAAGATAAAAGTCTAATAGCTACAAGGAAGCCAATTAAGGCCAACTATCTATGAAGAACTAGTATAAAATGATTATATGGTACAATGCTAAAAAATGATAATCAATCGATATGAAAGGAGATAAGATATGAAGCGGGATTCATTTTACCTTGATTTATTATCTCATCCCTGTTGCCATGGTTATTAACAATATTCAACTCAGCATGAACTTCGATTTCGTTCGAAGTGGAGGGCTTCTTCACACTGTTTGGCAGCGTCACATCTGATCGACAGGTCGGGCAAAGTCGATTCATCTTCAGCCATTTATCGATGCAGTTTATATGGTAAATGTGCTGACAAGGAAGTTTTCTAAATAAAAAATGATGATGACAATCAGTGTTACGAAGATCAGAATCAACCTAGCGAAGGAGGGGGGGGGGATGATTATGATAATGATGACGACAAGGATGATGGCCCCATTACCGTTGTTTTTTAGAAAGGTGCTAATAAGATAATAGTCATTAGTGGCCTTAAGGAAAAAATGAGATGGGCCCTCCCCAATTTACGGACTACAAGAATGTCCCATCCAAGGGTACGGAGCATGTCAAATACAACAGCAAGGTGTAAAAATTATATTTTTACTCGCTTACTAGGGGAGCTGAGTTATAAAAGCTTCAGTTGAAGAGGTTTTTGACAATGAGGTGAACTTGAGCAAAGTTTTAAAAACATAGATTTGGAAATAATTTTGGGGCGCCTTTTGGTCGGGAGCCATTAGTTATCGAACTGAGGTGCCATGGATTGTGTTACGCCACTGCGTCGTACACGCAACATGGCGACTCGAAACTGCTCAGAACGGCAGAAAAATCCTTACAGATGGAAGTTAGGTTTAGCACGCTATAAGAAAGGCTATGTCAAGTACATACTCCAAGCATCTTACTTCTAACAAAACTTATTCTAAATGTCCAATTCTTGCCAGGTCTACTGTGCACAATAATTCAAACTTGCAAAACTGCTTTTTCTTTTTGTATGATTATGTTAATGGCTTAACAATATCGTTTTAAATAGAAAATCAGCCAAAACGGAATTGCGTATCCCACAATCCTATAAAACAACTCTCAGAGGTTTTCATCGTACATTTCTGAGAGAATTTCTGCAGTGCAAGAAATAAGCTGTTTTCGGGAAATTTTTTCTATGCAATAAGCGATTTCAGCAGCTTACGAATGGTATTCTCTACTCGGAGGACTTAAATCGTAAAAAACTTCTTTACCCTAGCCGCTAAACAATAGGAAACGTGGAATACCGAGTGCTGTTTATAAGCCTCTTTAAAGCTTAAAGATTGTGGGTCAAGCATTCATTTCTGCCTAAGATTTTCTAACATGCAGCCGAGGTTGATTATAAGTGGCCAGAGAATGTTCAATGAAGGCAAGAAAAAATGATTTAAAAGGAAACAGATACGAAGTAGGCAAACCTGAAATAAAATTCACTAGTCGGCTATTACGTATGTAATGTAGAAAATGATTTATGAGACAATTGTCGGAAGACCTCCACCAGCGGACATCTTCCGATTACGGATAACTTCAAATAATGGACTATTAACTCAAATACCATATCTTTCAAGTGTTTGTTAAATTATGGAAACGGCAACTTTTACAATTACATCCTTAGCCATAAGATAAAGTAAATAAGAAGATGAATAAAGTAAAATTTTGATGTCATTAAATTTCTAATGACTACTAAAAAAAACTTAATAGAATTGGAACAAAATCGATGGAAATACTGAAAATTATTAGGGGAGGGATGGGTGTCACACCCCAAAACCCCCGGTATGTCCGTCTTTGGGTGTTTTATTTTTTCCTGCTCCTATCCTTATCCCAAAAGTTAAGAAGCTATTTAAACTCAATTTTCAATTTTTATAGATACATTGGGACAGAATACAGGAGAAGGCTACGCCGAAAATACTTGTAAGTTGATATTTTTTTCTGAAGTTGCCGTAAGGCATAAATGGCTCGAGTGACATGATAAGGAGGCAATGTATACTTCTTGAAAAGCTAACAAAGCACATAGCCACATGATTATGATTCGAATTTCTAAGGCCCTGTGCAAACGTTGAACTTCTCAAGCGCCGAACTAAATGATTTTACTAAGTACGTGAAAAATGCGATGTTTGGATCAACGGCGGATTTTATTAAGTACGGCAAAAGCAGTTTGACACGGCAGGTTTCCTTAGAAGGGAATGTTATGAACTATCGCTGACACGCGAACTTCTAATAAAAGAATAAAATCGGCTTCAGGAAAAGGATGCTTAGAATTTGCTGCAGTTTTGAAAAAATATCAGCTTGTATATTTCAGAGACATTTTACTGACGTCACATAATGTTGGTGGAAAAGTAGTTCAACGGTTAGCTAGAACAACCCAGGTCAAATGGAAGATATACGATTTTAATGGAGAATCATTTCATGAAATTGTGTAAAAAAGAGGAAAATTGAAATAGAGCGAAAATATTAAAAAAAAATAAACTAATATTTCGCTCCGACATACGGGATTTTTTCCCGTGTATGCTCGTATAAAACACTGGGAAAGCTGAAGGCAGCAGGAATAGGAACCGTCCATCTAATTTCATCGGATATTTGATTCTGCACAAGTGCTTCATCAAACAAATACTTTGTCCGCATGTGGACAATATAGGAAACAGTCTATATCCTAACCTTTTATTTCAATATGCACATAAATGAAAAACAGTAAAAAGCAAAGCATAGATCGCAGTAAATCTTTAGACGTCAGGAGAGAATCTGAAAAACGTACCTAACTTCTTGTCCAGTCTTGAAATGAATCAAGCATATAATGCAGCTATAAAGGAAAAACAAGCACGTTTCAATATCAGAAGTGGATTAATAGATGACATTTACAAATTTTATTACCACTATAAAAAGATATAAGGGATATCTAAGATATCAATACTCCTAGTTTAAATGAATTTTCTTAAGGAATAGCATATATTTAAAAACAGGGGCAAAAGGGAATGCAGAGGCCTACTTGCAAGCAAAGACGAGCCCCAAAGCCCCTGAGGGTCTTGCTGCTTATGAATAGGAGGACTTGGGGCGTGGCTTTGCATTCTCGTTTGGCTTTATTGGCTCAATAACGGTTTGGCTTTTCCGCATTTTGGAGAGTATTTCACTGATTTCTCAACTATTTATTATTAAAAATGGGGCTGAAATGTTAGATGATCATTATTTGCTAGCAATACTCTAGAATGATCCAAGACAAATCCTTCGGGCCTCTGCAGGCTTTATATAGGCCATATCGGTTATCGGAAACTGTCGCTTGAATTAGCTGATACTCGTTTGGAAAACAGACTGAGAATCCGAAGTTTTTCAAAAATAAAATGGTTTAAAGGATGTTGAAACTAAGGTTGGGCTTTGTAGTAAAAAAGTTGCAAAATACTGAATGCCCTTTTTAGGCAAATTTGAGAAAAGCACGGGTTTTAAAAATGACGTGTGATCAGTTCGGTTTTGAAAAATTACTGTACAAACCTAAAACCTAAGAATAAGACATTTAACTTAAATGCCAACAGAAAAATCAGCATTTTAGAAGTTATTAAAATATACCTTACTTGCGACGGTCCAAACTTATATTTGCTTAGAGTATCTCCACAGACGGCGACTGTTTGAGAAGTGGAGTAAAGCAAAACCAATTAATTTATGTCTTAGTTAAAGCGGATTGAAACTACTCAGAAATAGACAAATGGATAGTCAACCATATGGTAATATATAGGAGTTCTATCCACGATAAAGACCAAGAAACTGTTGTGGCTATGTAAAAGTGGAGCCTTTTGCGGCTTTATAAGTTTATAATGAAGGCATCCATAGAAAAACACTGTACTTCAAGTATCGCTCGAATACGCTCTATCATTGCAGTTTATTTTCACCTGCTACTTTGTAAAAACAACTGATAAGAAATTGTTTTGAAGAAACAACAAAGTTTGAGTTTTTTCAAAAATTCAGACCAGCTTTTTTGCAGTGGGTAAATAGAAATTTCTTTCCAATGATCAATAGGCGCTGTGTTGAAAAAAAAGAAAAAATCTGTCACCCCTTTTTACAGTGCGAAATTTATAGCCTTTTGCGTGTATCGACAGGACATTTAGATCTCAAGCTATGAATGTTTATATAAAAAATATCGGACATCTAATACATTTAGATTCTTTGCTGTTGGCAAAAATGTGAAATGCTTGCTTTTAAAAACATATTCACTTGGTGATGAGCAGGTTCCCATTTGTCCTACCACTGTTGTTCTTGCAACGCCCCAGAATCCATGGAGAATCCGTTATTTTCAATGATCAATCCATGTTCTCATGTTTTTCTTAATAAAATGCTGCTCCAATAACTCTAGCTCTCCTACCGCACTGGCATGCAATGCACCGGACCCACTTATGACAGGCCTTTACCGTCTTTCGTGGATAGAGCTCAAGAGTGATAAATAGTTGAACTCACCAAGATTCATTTGATTCAGTTCGTTCAGTCAAAGCAGAAACGACAGACAACCGGTCAACTGAGTCGTTGTTCTGAAAGGCGAATAACTGGACATAAATAGGAATCATAAAATAAATTGGAGCTAGATTTCGAGAAGATTTTGTTGGGTACCTTGTGTTTCTAGAACATCGGGTATCACGTGATCTTGTCCATGAATCTAGAGAGTTTCACTGCTTTCCGAAAAACTGGAATTTAAAAACTGAGAGCTATTGCTATTTACACTTTAGCATTCTCTGCTGTCACCAGTAGTTTATTATATTTCATGATAAAATCACTTCGCCTATTTGGGTTGCTTTTTTTATGATTAACATCTTCCTGTTCTGGATATGCAATTGTCGAAAAAAGATTATAGCATAGCCTGCTCCGGTAAAGCTAGATTTGAGGATTTGGGCTTGCAAAACTGTTGCTTTACCATCTGCAACACTTGCTAGTGATGACCAGGGAGAAGATAATTTGCATTCTGCATATAAATGAGTTTTTTATGAAAGAATTGAAGAGATTTGTGCGTTTTTCAATGGGGAAATGTTTTGAATTGTCAAATGACAAGAATTATTATTACTGAAGACAATATATAAGAATTAGTTTGAAACAGTGTTGTCAAACATAAAAAGCAACAATCATTTTGTTCTTACCAAAAGGATCATGTTTGAAAAATACTTCGTGATGGTTGTGTACTGGTTAATTTTTCTGTAAAAGATCAAAGTTAATGAGACAGTTTTTTTATTACTAAATAAAGACCTGAATAAAGAAGTGAACGCTGTTATGCAGCGAAAAACGGAAATAATTAAATCTTGAAGCAAAGGAAAGTCATAAATGCATTCATAGTACTTACTTTTGTCCAATGCCGCATGGTTGTTGACTGTGCATTACAACAAACGTCTAGAAGAAAGTGTTGTCATTATAGAAAAACATTGGAAATAGGCCTGATTAAGGGATATGAAAACCAAAAGGTCAACACAACCTTGCTGAAAAACGAGGAAGAGCGAAAAAACAGCGAATACCTGGGTTATTAAGTTTTACGCAGCTATCAAACAAAAATCATTGTTCACACTAATAATAAACTCTATGACACACGTTGTGGTTCGGCAAAACTTAAAGCGCTCGAAAATTCATCTCTCGTCTTGTTTATATCAACAAGAAGACCAGTGGGTTTCCAACATTCATACAGAACGTTTGCAGCATAATATGAAAAGGAAGGGACAGTTTCTAAAGAAAAGGAGAGGACACTTTGTAAAGAAAAGGAAGGGACAGTTTGTAAAGAAAAGGAAGGGATAGTTTCTAAAGAAAAGGAAGGGACAGTTCGTAAAGAAAAGGAAGGGACAGTTTGTAAAGTAAAGGAAGGAACAGTTTGTTAAGAAAAGGAAGGGACAGTTTGTCAAGAAAAGGAAGGGACAGTTTCTAAAGAAAAGAAAGGGACAGTTTTTAATTAAAAAGAAGGGACAGTTTCTAAAGAAAAGGAAGGGAAGAACAGGACAAAATTGTGACCGAATTTAGTACTAGCAATTCCTTAAAGTTACCAATATAGCTACCAAGAGCTTCGTTTAGAAACATAAAAATGCAACATTAGATAACGTGACATAGGACACCAAATCAGTCACAATGACTTGCTCCTTTTATCAATTATGCAAAGATCATCTCTATTCCATTTTATCTTAACAAGAATCATTTTCGAGCACTTTCCATTTGAAGAAGGAGATCAGTAGAATAGTTCCTTGATTGTTAAGCCTGATTTACACGAGACAAATTTTGCGCACGGAGTGAATTTTCACCACCAATTTTTTGGCTAAGAATTTTTCTCTCGAATTCGAAGTTCAATTTACATTGGCAGAAATTTTTACATAAATTATCTGCATAAATTGCAAATGAATATCGCGAACGTTCAAAGAGTGCTGTTATCAGGGAGCTTAAAATCTTCAAGTTAATTTTATTGAAAAAGCGAGCAAAACAGGAAAAAAGCGATACTGGGTTAGAAAAATTTATTCAGAACGTCTTCAGAAGGGGGAGTTTCATCTTTCAGTGAAAGATTTACATTTAATGACCAGGAATACTTCTTCAAATACTTTGGAATGTCACCAACTGAGTTTGCACAAACATGCGAGATCCTGTTAATGTATCTGCATCGAACAGATCTCGAGTCTTCTTTGACTAAAACTGTTGCTGGGGAGCGGGCAAATAAACCGCCAACATTTCAGCGTTTTTAAGAAATTCGTGCTGATTGTTTATTTCAGACAATAGGTAGAGAGATAGGACTTTCCAGCATGTTTCCGTCAATTTTAAATTCGAATGTTTGAATAATAATCTGGTCTGAATCCACTTAAATTGAATGTATACGAGGTGATGAATAATTACCAACCTGTTTCATTGACGTTGTATAGGTGAGACTGTTTGAGAAAAATAATATGGAAAGACGCGGGTCATCAGAAACCAAAACAAATGTCAAATTCTATATTGATGGTTTATTTCACAACTCGAAAATTTCGCAGCAAAAAAATAGGAATTGTTTTTCCTTTTTTCGCTGCTAATTCGCAGAGAATTTTCTAATCTCTACTTCTGCGCATACTTTTTACGCATTTGCATCGAGAAATTCGCTTCGTACGAAAAAATTGGCCTCGTGTAAATCAGGTTTTACCTCATCATTGGGGGTGGCTTTCTCATAGATGGTTTTCTAAATGGTCTTTTCCTTGGAGCTCATCTACATACCTGCAATCCATTTTCGTAGGCTTGCAGGTTTCTTTGAAGTTCCGATCTGTACACAAAATGGACACCAGTTGATGGGATCTGAAAAATAACAAGTTTAAAAAGGTAGTCGTGGTCACATTTATCAACGGTTGATATTTGGCTATGGTTGATATCTACACACTGGGGTTTAAAAAGGGTTATTTTTGTTGTCATCGTCTTAGCCCCACTGAGCGGCAGAAGGGGCAATTGGCGAAATTCAACTGGGTCATAGCAAATTTCAAAGGACTTCAACTTGGAGGGTTGAGCCTTTTTTTACTAAAAAGGAACAAAATATATCGTTTTAAACAAAGAAATGTTACCTTGGCTAAAAGGTGCCAATAGCTCCTATGATAATAAGGCCCAGCTCTATATTTGAGTGTAATTTCAGACCGAAACCTAAACTGGAAAATACCTATTAGCCATGTGCCTACTTAGCTGTAAACTACAAAAGACTACTTGATAAAATAAGATACTTGTGCCAAAAACACCTTAGTCCTTCACGTCTCTCTACAACGCGCTTATCGTTATAAGCTATATGTTATGTATTGTGCAGGCCCGTCCGAATGAAATTCATATTTTTGCTGCCCATTGGTACTGCCCATTGTATTGTTCCTATTCAGTACACTGATTTCATAGTCTATGCTGATATAAAGGAAATATAGTACCGTTGACAAAACTAAAAGAGGCTTCTCCTTAAGAGTGGCCAAGTTAGAAAAGGAAAGGACTGTTAGTCGATTAAAAAAGGGACTTTGTAGAGCAATAGAAAATAGATCGCTTTATGAGAAAAGGGTTTAATTCTGCTAAGCCAAATAGAACGACAAATAATGCAAATAATGGACGAAAACAGAACAATTACACAATAGGCTCTAGAATTCGAAAAATGATCGTATTTGCAAGATTATGCAAAGGTTGTTCGGGTAATATGCTGAAGACGTGGCCGAAATGACAATTAGAGCTGAGCTCATATATATATAGCATATATCAAACTGGAATGTCCTGTGACTTTGATGTCCTCATCCAAAATGTCATTATTAAAAGTATCCCATACGTTTAATGTTGTTTTCAGACAGACGTCCGACTTGAATGGTAGAAGCACAGGCAGGCAAGAGTAAATTTTTCGTGTTTTTGCAGCGCCATTTAACACATGTAAGCGCACGTAAGGGGCGGTGGCGTACCCAGCGCTGCAGCAGTGGGGGTGGGGGGAGGGGGGTCTGCAGCCCCACAATTTTTTTTGACCACGCCCCTTCAGTCACTCAAAAATGCGGGGAAAAGCCCTTTTTGCAAAATTTCCCCCCATTATTTGATTAATGTTAGCTACGGTAAATACCAAAGTATTTTACAATTGTTATTAACACAAGCATACAGTATACTACCCCCCCCCCTCCAATGAGTTTTACATTGTTTTTGGACAAATCTCGAGGATCATATTTTAGAATAGTGACCCCCCTATTCCCCCGTTGGGTACGCCACAGCGTAAGGGCAAGTATTCAGCACAGAAGGGGTCCGCAGGCAGTGTTTGAAAGGGAGTAGTGCTTTTTAGCCTTCTGGTTTTATGAACGAGATTTTATAGAGGAATTAATCAATACAGTATGAATATGATTTGAATAATCTAATGACAATTTAACACTGAAAAGCCAAAGATATGTGAATTTTGAACTAGATATCTACTAATACTATTTGATACTAAAAAGCTTCCTAAGAAAAACTTCTAGTGCCAGGTACTATCCTCCAGCCAAATTCTACTGAGACAAACAATAAAAAATGGTTTTTACAAGTATACCTCTCAAACAGGGGTGTAGTGCTATCAAAACAAAAAAAGGGGGGCTCTTGCACAACATGTTGCAAAAAACAATAGCAAAAGTAGAAATTTGCCAATTTCCGGCATTAAGATGCTGGGGCTCAGTCCCCTGGCATTACACCCTTGCTCTCAAGTACTACAAGGTACTACTGTTATGTCTCACCATGATTTGGAGATTTATAGAGAAACTCTACAGACACTTTAGTGACCCTTGACTTTCAGCCACCACTGACCAGATTTAAAACTGACCAGGCTATAAAAAGCAACAAGCACTCACCATTGTTGTCATTGGCAATCTCGACCTTATAAAGCCGCCTATAGATGCACCAATAAGCTGAAAACAAAAAAGATCATTTTACAAAACGTGAAAAAAGAGACCAGCTAGTATTGGAAGTGGCAATAATAATCTTTGTTGAAAAAGATACACTCGGATTAATGTTAAATCTTATTGTGCACTCTGCAAAAAGACATGTGCTGCACCAGTCAGAGATTTTGGGTCAAGATTTTATCCAGAGTGACCCTTTCGTGTGAGTATTTGTATAAAATGAATTTTTGGGATCTTGCAAAGATTTCTGTGTGAAACTATTTTTTCTAAATTGCAATTTATGATAGTGTAAGTAGAAGAAATCAGTGGAGCGCCTCTTTTCATTCTTAATGAAAAAAAGGGCATATTTCTGCATGCCCATGAAATTCTTGGACTGACCTCCCACCCCATCAATCCATGTCCCTGCAATATCTTTAACAAACTGGATAATATACTCTCAGGGACGACCTTAGGTAGGATGGGGGGCTGTGGGGAGTGCAACAGCCCCACAATATCTCTGTGTCCTATAAATTTTGTTTCTATCAGCAAAAATTCATTTTCTGGTAGTCTGTAGTAACAAAATAAAGCCAAGAATTCAGACACCAACATTCCTATCAGTGGAGGGTTTTCAGCCCCTTGATTTTCCTGCTATGCTAGGTTAGTGAAGTACTTGTAAGTTATGCCTAGAAGCTGTTTTCATTGGCTGGACTGAGGATTCTTTGAAAACGAGAGTTACTAGGAAACTGGACAGTAACTTGCGAACTTTACTAGCATTTTGCACCTGTTTAATTTCAATATTTCATCAAAGAGACTTAGGGTAAGGGGGGTAATTATTTTATGTAATTTCTTTAAATCTACTTAAATGTTACAGCAAAGCTCAGATCCGTAGATAAACAGAATCACCAGTGTAAAATATACCTGGGTGAATAAACTGAAGAGCATGGAAAATTCAATGTGTTCGCTTCCCAGGGCCCAAAGAGAAGGGGATGACATCAACTTGTGAGGAGCTTACCACAACTCAAAAAGTTAAGGAACGTCAGAAGAGCTGCAGGGGGGGGGGGGTGGAAGTAAAGCGTCAAGAAAAAAGACAAAAGTGTCAAAAAATAATAAAGAAGATCATTAAATTCCCTGAAGGTAAGGTGGCAACTGCCCCAGCACAGTGGTGTAGTGCTATCAAAATAATAAGGGGGGCTCTTGCACAGTATATTGCAAAGAACAATAGCAAAAGTAGATGTTTGCCAATATACAGCATTAACAAAGAGGGCTCAGCTCCCTTGCTCTACACACCTGCCCCTGCACCATTGTGCTCATGCATCCGCTCACCCTTTAATTTATTTTAGGAGAATACCTGTCTGTTTGTCTGTATGAATAACAATGATCGAGGGGCCAATCACTTTAAGATTTGCTTTGGGCAAAATCTCGTACGCTGTTTGCAAGAGTGAATCGCCCCTCGACAATGATGTAATACGACCATAATATGATGCTTTTGGAATAGCCGTTCACATGGAACAGAAACCGACGGCAGCTTTTGAATGAGTCCCATTTAATCAATTGCTCGCAGTAAGGAAACGACGTAAGAGTGAAAGCGGCGTTTCCCATTTCCCCTTTTCCTGGTTTAAACCTGCCTCGACTGATCAATAGAAATTCGTGCACGTACAGCTAAATCTTATGCAAACATTTGCAAAACATATTTCTTGACCATTTGACAAAAGTAAATTTTGTGCTAAGGTTTCACAACAGGTGTTCGTAAACAATTTCTCGAGAACAATAGCACAGGCCAAAACATGTAGATAGTAAGGTTTTTGCTCTAGACTCCACCAACATGGGACATTGTATCTATTTAGATAAATATTTGTTGAAACCCAAATAATATATCTTGTTCTGATTTAGAATCATTTTGATGAAAATATCTTAAATATTTCTGAAACCAAATGAAGAACTGATGTAATTTCAACTTTCCCAAGTAGATCAATATCTAACTGCCTTGAAACCACAACGATTCCCAAAAATTTGAGCACCGAATGATCTTAGATAAATAGATTTCGTCTTCTTGTTTGTTTTATTATCAGTTTTGGCCTAACCTATCCGTCAATCGTGCAACAATGAATGTCCATATGTAACAACACAATAAATCATTTGAAGTAACATTGAATTCAATTTACTCGTGATCAAAACAAAAAAGGTCAGGAATGTAACAAATAACAAAAGGCTTGTAAGTACCGCCCAATATTTCAGAATCAACATTTTTATTAGGAGGTGTAATAAAAAATTATCAAAAAAGGAAGGTTATTTGTCCCATTACATCACCTCAAGCACACATAAATGACACAGAGACTTCACAGCGATTCCCTTCTTTTCTGATAGCGAAAAAGGGTGATGATTTAGAATTAACCACTTTCATGGGCAGGCGAATGGCCATCCAAATTTTGAAGGTGGACAGGTAGGACATCAGCATCTGTTATTGTGGTCGAGCGCGGATTCTAACGAATCTTCCTGTGCAAGTTTCCTCTCGAATTTTAAGTAAATTAAATTATGAAACTACAGTGCTATATCCTTCTTAAACCTCGTTGAAAGCTTATCCTACGGTAAAATGGAGGCGAAGCAAAAACAACCAAGAGCTGAGGCAGAAAATATTTCCAACTTACCGCACAACCAATGTACAACAACAAAGTGGACTTGAAGACGCCGATAATGATGAAAATTATGCCTGTCACGCACAGCCCAAGGTTTAAAAACTTAGAAAGTTTTCCACGGATCAACCTTTGCGTACCACTTAGCTCTCCAGGCATCTTTAAACTGTTGTAATGGCAATACTCCTGCTTCTTCCTGTAAACGTTCACGATCCAATATTTTTTCAACGGCAGACGGACAATTATGTCTAACAGACCACGAAACAGGTCTAACTTGAATTTGTCAGTATTGCGCATGCGTACAATCAGGGTCTAGACCGTTCAGTCAGACCAAGTCACGTGTCAATATTGTTATCACAGAGAGTCACCTGCAGCCTTTGTTATGCTTATGAGACGTCCAAAATTTTAATTGTTATGCAGCGAACCGTTTGACCATTTGACTACACCGCGAAGTTCACTTCCCGTTAAAAGGTAAATACCAAAAACACAGATTTTTGATCTGATTTTGATCTTGAACAAGAATCGACAGATTTTGATCAGATGTCAGACTTTCCTTGCTGTTGGGGTTCTCACAGAAATGTCGTACGCCCTTTTGCATAAATCCTTTTGTTTTCGAGTTAAATCCACGAAAGATTGGAAAGAGTGACAACCTCATTTTTCCTTATAAGAAAGGAATGAAGGAACTATTTTTTTTCCTAAAAACCCCAACATTAAAACGGATGCAAATCATTTAAAAGCAACGTCACAAACTTTGAAAACGATAAAACATTACCAAATTTCATTGTTTGCAGCAGAGAAAACCCGCTCCGAGGCAGGTTTCTGTTAGAAAACTTTCTGGCTTAAACAAAGGGCCCCATATTAACTCAGTCAACCGTCACTTATTTACTCAATTGACAGCGTTCTATTTTTTCTTAAGGCCAAAAAGGCCTTGTCTGATGATCTGAGAGTGACTTCGCATATGTTTACTGTAACCACAAATATGAACAAATTCAAAAAAGCTTCGAGTTAATAGAGAATTCTCGAAAGGCAGGGGTCACTTTATTTTGGATTCTTTACGACTTTTAAGGTGATGTTTCCACGCCCGCTGACTAGATCAGTATTATACACATGACAGGTTTGCGTGCTTGTTGGTTACACATTACACATGTTTCGTTTTAATTATTAGATTTTCATGGTCTTGGCTGCTGTCACAGTAACCAAACGGGAAGTTTCGCCACAATAGGCGAAGAAGAACGCACTCATAAGTGTTCATATTTTCATAAATCACATTATAGATTATAGAATCTTGATCTAAAAATAGCTACACGTCAAGTGATAGATACCTAAGGCCGCATTCAGATCAACCATAAGTCCATGAATATTTTCAGTACTACGCAGATAGAGTTTGGAACTCGAAGCCCATACCTCTAAGTGTTTAAAACTCAAAGTGTTAGTTATATTTCATTTATATAATCTTTTGCGCAGGAGTGGCGGCATGGGGGGGCAAGGGGGGGGCTTTAGCCCCCCCCCCCTAGATTTTTGTTAGCTCCCCCGTCGGCAGCCAATCAATTTTTGCTTTCTCAATACCGTCGGCACTTGATGGATGTCACCCGGTTTACATGTTGTTTGAATGACATAAATAATCGAGGAGAAAACTGCACTGGCTGGTTTATGGTTTTCTCAATGGCTTTTCTTCGGCAATTTTTCTATCATAGTGGCATTATATCCTGTCGTTTCCGTGAAAGCTGTGACTTAATTTCATGGTGCTCCTTCGCATGACCCACAATACCATCGTGCTCCTCTCGGTTGAAATCCCTGTTGCTGCAATTCATGCGAAACGTGCAGAGATGCTTGATTTGGATCATGTTTTGGATCGTTTCAAGGAAATTTCAGCAAAATCACGCTGTCATAAATAAAGTCTTTAATGAATTTTCTTCTTAAGAGATTCTCTTTTCGTTTCAAGACATTATTATTGCCAAAGAAAACATTTCGATCATGAGCACATTTTGCGTAATAAATTTTTCAAAAAGCACTTCTTGTCCTTTTTCATCAACTATTTTTCAGTAGCATTGTTCACCGCATAGCTCGCGACAAACAAATGGTTTAGAGAAAACCGTCGATTAACTTCTTCCAACATAGATAGGAAGAAATATTCAACAATAGGCAATATTTGCGCATTAAGTTTCTTACAAGGCACAAATTGCCGAGAAAATCTCGTGGACTCCGACACAGGTTGGAAAGTGGGGGCGGGGAGGGGGAATTTTGAAAGGGAGAATTTTGCACCCACAACAAACGATTTTGGAAAAATGCTCTATTTTCATTGGAGGTGCTGCTCAGGGGCGTCGCGACTGGGAGGTTGTCACACCCACCCCAATACTATCTCAATAGGAAATTTCAGGTAAAATCCGCTCGGTGGAAGAAACGCTTTAGGTATTTCAGAGAACTTCCTGTCATAAAATCAATAAAGGATCAAGCAATCTTAGGTAAAATTGTGCCTCGTGTCCATTTCTCCTAAAGTTTCTCAGTAGAAGCGTCAACTGCAATTCACTATGAGCTCCAAATTTTTCTTAACATTCATAAGGCATGCTAAGATGGAGAGAGGGATCTAAATTTAAAAGTAACTGACAACCTGGTATTTTTCAAGACCACGGCGAAATTGTTGTTTTTATCTGCTGTAAAATAGTTTTGCAAAAAGGCAATAATTTTCAATAGGATTAGGAGGATTGCTTTAGTGAAATCTGCTTAAAAGAGTGCATTTTCCAGGGAACTAGAAGCATCACAATTCGAAAATTTCCTGTCCCTTCGGCGGCAACCATGGTGCCGCCTCAGGTAGAAACTATATATTTTGCCCGTCCCGATATAGAGATTTGACAAGACTATTAGAAAAGTCGGTTATTATCATACAGAGTTAGATTGACAAAATGTATTGCAGAGGTTTGTGACACCAGCTAAAAAGTTTCAGGCAATAATTTTTTAATCAGGTAAATTTGCATTCCACACCCCCCCCAAACGAGGCTTGCCTCGCGACGGCCCTGCCTGCTATATGGGGCAAATCGAATTTTTTTTCTGTCGGCAATTTGACACATCCAGCGTCGGCAGTTACGGAGAATATAAACTTCGGCACCTTGAAGGTTTGTCTCTAGCGCCACCCCTGCTTTTGCGGACTACGATTTTGGTATATAGTAAGGCTGTCTTCGTTCAATTTTCGATTTTTTTTACACTTAGTTCTGTCATTTACGATAAAGATATTTTCATGTACAGTATTCTTTCCAATTAACAGACATTCTAAAAAGCGGACACCTCTGATTAGCGGACAATTTTCCCCGAACGTCTTCTGGTCAAAGTCTCATAACAAACTTTCTAAAAAGCGGACACTTAATTAGCAGACACTCTAATTAACGGACAATATTTTTTGCACAATATAGTCAATTTGGTTTTTTTCTCTTTCCAATTAGCAGACAGTACAAAAAATTTAGGAGCCAGCGAACAAAAAATGAGATGAATGAATATTTGTTCAAATATTTATTTCAAACACTTTGACACTTGACAATCTAGTTGGCTTTTTACAGCTTTTAGCTTCTAAACAGCCCAGTTTACCAACCTTTTTGTTGTGTTGCGCTCAATTTGGTTATTCTTTTTTATTTCTAAGTTCAACCCGATAGCCACTTATTACCTAGACTACACCCAGAGGTGGTGCCAGAAATCTTCCGGCAGAGGGGTGGGAGCTTCCGACAGGGGGGCTAAAATGACTAAAATATGCAGTTTTCGTACGTTATTTTGTCAAATTTGCTCCGACAATAACCTAAAATTTTCTCCGATGAGGTGGGGGGGCCAGGTGCTTCCGACTGTAGCCACCTGGCGCCACCACTGATTCCATCTTTTAAATACAAAACTAGAGTCTATTTTCAACTTTGGAACTTATATTGCAAAACATTCCAAAAGGCGGACACTTCCAATTAGTGGACACCTTGCTCTGGCCCCGACGGTGTCTGCTAATTAGAGAGAATACTGTATATACAGTGGAATCCCAATATAAGGAACCCCGGATATAACGAACTTCCCGGTATAACGAACTAAAGCTCGCGAAAGTTTTGCCCCTGCGCCGCTTCCCCTGCAAAAGGGCCCGTGTTTTTTATAGCCCCGGGGCCAAAGCTGGGTCTCGGCAAGACTGCCAACGAACCTTCTTACATGTATGACATTGGCAACGAGCGACGACAAAATTTTATTGAGAGACCCAGTTGGAGAAGCGAAAAAGACAAGTGAAGTGCTCGGTGAAGTCATGCCAGCTTTGCCAATGTCTAGGTCCCAAATTATAGGAGGAACAGGATTTTCATTTTCGATGGCTAGACATTAGTGATATTTTAATACAGGTTGGTTTTTTGGAGTAAAATGAGCCCACCTAAAATAGTAATATTTTAGGTGCCCACCTAAAATAGTAATATTTTTAGGCGTGTACTGCGAAGAAACCTATTATAACGAACTATTTTCTGGTTCCCTTCAGAGTTCGTTTTATCGAGAATCCACTGTATTCACATCATACAAAGTCATACAAAAATAACGTTCTCTTTTCTTCAGCATCTTTCTAGCGAAAAGATGGAGTTTTTAGTTCACCTATGAGTCTAAAGCCTGATTCACACGAGACGAAATTTTCGCGCGAAGCGAAGTTGAATTTTCACTGGCAGAAATTTTTTGTGAATTCGCTGTGAATATCGATTATCAGAAAGCTTAAAATTTTAAGATTTATCAAAAAAGCGAGCAAAACAGCAAAAAGCGATACTGGATTAGAAAAAGTTATTCAGGACGTCTACAGTAGGCGGAATTCCATTTTTCGTGAAGAGGGGTTTACGTTTAGATTTATAGGACTAGGATAGCTTCTTCAAGTACTTTCATTCTTTCAAGGTCGCCATCGAAACTTGCAAGAGCATACGAAATCCTGTTAGTGCATCTGCTTAAAACTGTTGCTGTTGAGCAGGCAAATAAGCAGCCAACAATTTAGTAATTCGAAGAAATTCTTGCCTTCTTTTTATTTCTGACATATTGGTAGAACGATGAAACTTTCAAGCCAGTTTTCATCAATTTGAAATTCAAATGTTTGAATAAAAATCTAATATGAATCCACTTATATGAATTGTGTACAAAAAACAGGAAAAGAAAAATTACCAACCTATTTTATTGACGTTTTATAGGCGAAAGAGAGAAAAAAAATGCGGAAAGACGTAGGCCATCTGAAACCAAAACAGAAGTCAGGTGTCTTCAAATGCTGTTCTGACTGTTTTATTTTACAAGGCGAAATATTTCGCAGCGAAAAATTAGGAATGGTTTCTACTTTTTCGCAGCGAATTATTCGACGCGAATTCGCTGCGAATATTCTAATCTCTACTTCTGTGTAAATTTTTGGCGCATTCGCGGCGAAAAATTCGCTTCGCACGAAAAAAATTCATCTCGTGTAGATCAGGCTTATGCAGCACCTGAAATTGAAACCAAACTTTGTAACATGCTTTTTTCTCTGCTCATTCTTGCCTCGTTCAAGTGGGTAAGACTTGCTCTCTCTCTTTCCTAGCATCCTAGAACCTTACTCCCATCCCAAAATAAGCCGAGCTCGTAAGAATCTTCATTCAACTTCATTCATTCTGAAAAGTAGGGGGCAGGAGGCAGGGTGCACGTTCACCCAGCTTTTCAGAAATTTTGTGAAAGTACCTATTTATAGCTCACAGATGTGCCCCTTTTCTGACTACATGTCCCCACCCACTGTTGAAATGTGCCCTACGGTATGTCTATGTTAGAGATACTTCTGTTGCTCACTGCTTTTAGCCTTGGGACAGAAATATCAGCACAAATATCAACCAGTAGAGACTTTCTTCATCAGATTATATGTTAGCACTAATCCGTTAAATAGGTCATCTAAAGCATCCACAAATATGTCGCTTACAATAGGTTATTATAATGGGTCAGATAGACTTGAGGAAAGAAACCACTATTCAGATGACGGTGAAAAAGGAAGTTTTACTCTGGAAATCACACGATTAATGGCGATCATATTTGTGTACTTATTTGTAATGGTAGGAAAAATTGGTGAAACTACTCAAGCAGCAGCGAATATACCTCAAGGATGATTCAGTAAAAATGAGATTGACTCGTAGATAAATACAAGACTCAACCACAGAAGCAATTTCAAATGATGAAATTGTTTGTGGTGTATTTATAAGATCAGCAGAACTAAGCAATCATAAGAAATCGTGCATGCGTTCCTGAAACTTCTATATCAATTCATTGGCAGCTGGAGAAATGACAGCTCAAATCATAGCTCTATAAAAAAGATTGGATTGAGCTACCAATTGTCTTGAAACACCAAAGTTTGAAGCCCGTTCGATTTCAAAGGAAAAAGGGTCCCAAACAGAAGTGGGAAGCCATTCCGCAAAACCATGCTCATGGATAGGCGAGAGCTGTAATCCATCCTGTATATTCAAGAAAGGAAAAGGAAAAAGGGCTATTCAGATGAAAACGTTTTTAAGAGTGATAGTGAAGGACTGAAGGCTGAGTCGTTGTAGGCATTCTTTTCGAATGGCGACACACGTGTCACATTAGAAGCTCGACCCAGTCTTTTTTATAGATCAGTAATACAACTTAGGCTGAAAAGATTTCAGAGAAGCCAAGCAAGCAGATTACAAAACGATAGTAAACTGAAAGCGTTTAAATAAGCGATAGATTTTGATACAAGCTCTGGCAAACGTATTAGCCCATTTACCCTGTTCCGTGCAAGTTTAGAACTGCGACCGTCGCGGTTCGCCCTTTCGTTTACACTAGCACTCTGGAACCGAGACATTTTTGCTCTGCTATCCGGAATAGTTTTGATCCTGGTACGAAAGCGAACGAAACTTGTACCGTCACGGTTCCGTTTTTGAACGGGACAGTGTAAACGGGGTTTTAATCAACAATTACACATCATGTAAATTCTATCTTTTCCGTTCGCCTTTCTGTGTTCGTTTCTTTTCTTTGTCTTGTCTTTCCTGCTTTTTCAGTTTCTCCGCCTCTCTGTTCGCTTTGTCTTTTTCTTTCTTCTCCTCAGCAGCCTTTTTCTGCGTTTCTCGTTGCTGTTTTTGATTTTCAACCACTGTTTTTGCATTAATGTTCTCGAACATAGCTTGAGGAAGTGAAGGAATTCTACGAGTTTCACTGATATCAAAAATTTTGTCATCAATTTACTTTATCTTATAGCCAGTCATTAATTGATGAAGAAAATTAAATATTATTTTGCACCTAAGTCCAAAGAGATTGTAGATTCCCTCCTGATTACTCACGTGCTGAGCTACTTGAAGTTTCGCAACGAAAAATATATTTCTGAAAGCAGGATTTCCCCACTCTATCTTCAAAATGCTACATAACTTCGGCCTCTTTAACAATCTTTGGTTGGCAATCTAGCTTTGGACTAAAAGCAGCCACTCGCACGCTCTAAGAAGGTTTTAGACAAGAGCAGTATCGATGAAAAATGAAACTAAATGAATGGGGAATGACTACAAACAAGTTATTTCTGAACCAAGAATACAAAGCCACAAAGCATATCAAGCCCGTTGACCGAGATCATGGGAAGACTTTTATTTGCTCTAGCGTACAATTTTTTTCATGCGGGGGTTCTCAAAGATATTCTCGGAAGGAGCAATGAATGGCCAGGCAGAATATTTATATATCTATTGGCTTACCTTGGAAAAACATAAAAAACATTCATTGGGTAATATCATATAAAAAGTGTATGGTTTTGGTGGGGAGAATTTGTACCAGTTTATGCTGCTGATCATAACAATTTTGTTATTGCAGGAGCAATATACATATTTATACATGTAGCTACATAGCTACTTGCATGATATGATTGAAATAGTCGCTTATCCGGTACCAGCTGTCAACAACATCAAGAATTAACGTTTCATGAATGTTTAGGTGACCCAGCTGCCTATTCAGAAATTGTCAGTTCCAAATGAATAATCCGCAGCACTTTAATCTAAATAAAAAATGTGGCACGAAAGGATACATAGCTGACTTTGTGATTCGTCCGATTTCTTGGCACACGTCTTCTTGTCATCATCACTTAAAATAGTTTAAAAGCTTTAAACAACAGTATTCAATACAGTTCATACAAATTAAGAAGTTTGAAGCTTGATTAAATGGAATTAAACACGTTTAATATGTGACAGGGTACGCCTTTTAGGTGCCCCTTGGACTTTTGTTTTTTGGGCACAGATTGCACAATTGTTGAGTTTGTGTTTATTGTAGCAGTGCTCGAGTAAGCTTTAACATTGTGTTTTTTATACGGCTAAAGCAACAAGCGTACAAGTGTGCATTGGCCTTGGGTATATAAACTTTGTCTTGGCATAGTTTCATTCTCACACGTTACGACGACAACGAAGTAGGGCTATGGAGAGGAAAGGGTTTTCCTTTGCGACCCTGCCCACCCAACCCATGTCTAGATATCTTCAGGTGTTTTCTTTACATGCATGTTGACTTTCTACTTCTTTTTTTTCGTGCATTAGTTAATGGCCGTATGGCTTGCGACTTTTTGCATGAACAAGGTGTTGCTAGACGGCGGAAGAAGGCCATTGTTCTTCGTCTCAACCCCCTCAAAAACGGTTGGGATTTTATTTATGGCCGTCTTTGCGATTGGCGCACCGACAGCCCAAAAATAAATGGTTCAAATGATGAGAGAACACCACCTTCAGTCTAATGATTGACAATGGTAAAACATTCTGAGGACCATCTTACCCTTATTTGCTAATGGTTTTTGTTTAGTAACCTGGAACAGTTTCGAGTGACAAGAAAACTAAACCAGAATACGATATTGGGAGAAGATATAATGTTTTCTAATCGTCGTTAATTGTAACTACGAATATCCCTTAATGACTCGGTTGTGAGGTAATCAGGATGGAATGGTTAATATTGCTTACGACTTAAAGAAAATCGACAGTTTATGCTTAGTTACGACCATTTCTTGCGAGAGCCACGCTCACCTGTCAGCCCTCTAGTAATTAGACTTTCCCAAAGTCTATTTTTGTTAAAGCCGTAAGGCATTCATGAATGCCGAAGACAATTCCAAACTGCGAAGGAGAAAATAGGAAAGCTGTTTAGAATTGCTCCTTCTTCGCAGTTTAGATTTCCCTTCACAATTGTACGAATGCCTTACCGCTTTAACAAAATTAGACTTTAAATTTCATCTAATAATTAGATCAAAGATTTCTTGATGTAAATGAAAGTGCTAGTATATTCTCCACTTTGCATCCTAGAGCCAAGATTTCTTGCAACTGATAGCAAAACAAAGTTATGTTCGAAAACACATAAAAAATCACTTATAAAACACAAATATGCTTTGTGAATTGTGAGGTCATGGCTTCTTGCCAAAAGATACTCTTTTACTCTTGGGTCTACTCTATGATGTACATGATAATATAGATGTTTTAAAGAAATAACAACAGAACCTGACACAGTTGTTTAGCAGATGGCGCTTTGGAGGGCCATCTTTGACTCCCTAGATTATCGTCATCATGATAACCTGTACCTAGGTACTCTGTGCTAATGTTCATTGATTAGCGTATCCATGCCTTACGCTAACAAGTATATAATTGCATAACATAATGAAATATGAAGCAATTTCAAACAACGACAAACCTTTCTTCGCCATCAGAAACATGTGAATACTGTTCTAGCAACCTCCTTTTGATGTCATCTTCTGTCCTATCGGTTGGTTTTGTCATTGCTAAGGTTTCTTGTTGTTTATGTATTATATCTAGAAGTTTTTCCTCGGCCTTACTTGCGACATTATTAGTTTGTGCTGAAAGGCGTGAAATGCATGTGTTTAGAAAAAAATATGAAAAAAACACGAATGGACAAACAAACAAACAGGGACCTACAAATCAGTAAAAAATAAGAGTAAAATAACAAGAAAAAAGTATTCACAGACAAAAATAGCTACATGTTAATTAGAGATAGAAGAAAAAAACTCACAAGGACTTTGCTCTACTTTGTTTCCAGAAGTTTCATTCCATTTATTGACCATTTCTTTACATATATCAGTTATCGGTTCCTCCTATAGCAAAAGCATATTTTTATCATTGTTGCAAAAATTCCAGACATCGATGAGGTGCAGTAAAGGCCCGTCGTTAGCAATTCTCATCACCCATTTTTTTTGCTTAGGCCTTATAAAGATGGAAATATGTAACCAATAACTTTTAGTACAAAGAATATAACTATAAAGTTTAATAGGAATCCGGCAAAAATCAAGCAAGTCATTGTAATGCGCTGTATTGTATTGTATGGTATTGTTTGGTATTGTATGGTATTGTATGGTATTGTATGGTATTGTTGGTATTGTTTGGTATTGTTTGGTATTGTACAGTATGTTATAATATGGTATTGTATTGTATTGTATTGTATTGTATTGTATTGTATTGTATTGTACTGTATTGTATTGTATTGCATGACTTGGTATAAACACCAAGTTTTGGCTGTTACAATTGGGTATAAACACTAAATGAGACTAACATGAAGCACTTTCATGGACTGCGTAAAGGCAGCTCATAAACCATAAAAGAAAAGGTACATTAATTTTCATGGAACCAAGTAAACATATAATATGTTCATAACAAATGTACTAAGACATTTTTCATTGCTAAGACATTTTTCATTGCTAAGACATTAAAGCAAACAACTTCCTGGGGAGAAACAGGTACAAATAGACTTGCGATAAAATTCATGAGAAAAATACCTAAATCAATAAAACAGGTAACGGCACAAAATTAATTTATCATTGATGGACTTATTAATGACTTTATTGACAAAATTTGCAAGGTCAAACTTACAGCAAAACTGTTTAAGAACTTACAGAAATAATTTATAGTTCAATAGACATCGTAAGGTTCTACTAACATTGTCCACTGACAAATTCCTTTGTATCAGCAACGTTTTAATGTACAAATATACCAGTGTTTATGACAAGAAACAATAAAAAATTCATGTCTTTCGTTTATCCATAGCCACTGTTTATCGCTAGCAAAGATTATACTTGAGCTATAGAGCATCACATTGATTTAGGACCTGAATAAGGCCGCGTTATACTATCAAAAACCAGGCTTGACATATGAGGAGTCAAGGGGGGAGGGGGTTTAGTCTGGCAATCTCTTCATTTTGACCTATCTTTCATTTTGGCCTATCTCTTCATTTTGGCCTATCTCTTCATTTCAACGGTATATAAATAATTATATTTGGTCCTCTTCGTTCACAAGCCATCATTTATCCAAAAAGTCTTTTATCAGCCTTGAAAGGATAAAGAAAGCCTTTAAGCTCCATTAAAACAGGGTTATAAAGAACACAGTTGTAAGATTGATTGGCAATACAAGGAAGGTATCGAGGCACCATCTGCGACATTATTTGTTTGGTTTTGACCAGGCTAAATCAACTTTGTTTGATACTTTCATTCTTAAATTTTCTTTGGAGTTTGCAAGGAGTAATGTGATTAAATTCAAGTGATTTTATTTCTTGAACGCTGTTTCGTTTTCGGTAGACCACTATTGACCTAGTTTAATTAATTTTTAACAGATTTATTAATATATTTTCACTATTTTGTCTGGTTGCTGACGAAAGAATGATTTTGTGGATTTTCCCATTTAGAATTTGCAATCGTGTGAATTTGCTTGATTGGCTCACTAATTCTAACGTTTGGTCTGTTATTTTAGAGAGAAAAAAACACTGAAAGATAAAGCCACGACGAAGGCAACTCATCAAAGAGATACTCAGTATTGACCAGTTTTTTTATGTACCAACCTACAAGCATAAAGCACTCCCTTCTTAAACATTTGAAAACAGTGAAATGACAATGGGCGCACAGAAGTCCGCTGCATAGAGTTTCATGGGTACCAGAGCCACAAAATCTCCCAATCCTATATTCTATTTCCGTGCTTGAATTTATGTGGCTCTGGTACCCATTGTAGCTATCTCTGTTTGGTTCAAACGGTGTCTGAAATAAAAACAATAAACAATTTATGTTGTTCAATTTTACTTGAGTGAAGGCTATTGTAGCAACGGCTGCAGCTCGTCCACAATTAGCGATAGCAGAGTAAGAGTTGAGTTAGATTGAAGAGAGGTAAGATAGAGCTGAAGTTTGAGTGCTGAGTTGGAACACACATAACTTGTGAACTGCCACAAATTTGTTCTTTTGTCATGTTAGCTGTAACCGGACACCCTAGATTTGGCAAAAACCATGTGAAATTCCTGATAACAAAGATTTTTGTAGTACTTTTAATGCAAAATATTCTACAGTGTTTTAGCATAATTATCATGCCTTATAAAAATAGCTCAGTATTTCTGGGCTGCACTATTTACTCAGCTGCGACTTACTGGCTTTCAGAGGGACGCTTCAACTAAGTGCCTTTATACTGAACCAAAAATGAAGCAAAAAGAAGCAAAAAAGAAGGAAGCAAATACTTTCATCTGCATACTAAGAGACTAAAAATCTCTGATTGAAGCAAATGCTATGTTTGCTCCAGTCTGGATGAGTCACTAGGCGTAAGTGATAACACTGTGTGGCAGCTCCATTATCGTTGTATAATGTAAACTGTGTTCTTTGACTAACCGTTCTTGGAGAATTCAAGGTAGCAGCAAGAGGCTACTATTTTATGCTAGGTCAAATGGGAGGGGGCCATAACACTTCATGTCTGTATGGGATCTCTATAGATCTTTGTCAGGGTAGGAGCTATCATGGGAACATACTCTTTGAAAAGTCATGTAAGGATCTCATCTAGGCCTGATGTATATAAAACTGTTTCAATATTCCATTCTTAGACACTGCAAATGAAGATAAACTTTGAGTGAACTTTACTCCTGTGTCAGCTAATCTTGAGTGGCTTCTTTCTTTATTGAATACAGATTCAAATTGTCTGTTCGGTATGTTTACCTTAGATCTGCTATTTGTGTATGGTAGACCATTGTTAGCTCTAAGTGCTGGAACTCCCAAAGCTTCACACTTCTTATTGTTGATGAATGACCAGAATTTTTTGGGCTTTGTATTTATCTCAGGAGCAAGCAGTTATGCCTCCTACCTTTCTTTCGATGAAAGCTTTCTTGTACTCGATTCTCTCTTTTTTTAATTGTTTGTACCAGGGGAAATTTTTCTCATTGTTGTCACCAGAACACACATAGTAGTCCAAAGACTAACAAAATGAGAGCAGCACCCCTTATGCTGATGGTTTATTCCGTTAATTTGCAGAGTGCTATAACAATAGATATCAGGGCTAGCTATAATAATGTAATTATCTGCAGAGTAAAACTCTGATGGCAATAATTAGTAAAGGGATCTTGGGGAAATTTGAGTAATCTTTTTAAGATTTCTTTCAAAAAATCTTTACACATTTTTGAACCCATTACATTAACTGACCTCAAACTATAAACAGGTTAGAGCAAAGGAAAGTGCTACTGGCAAATGTTTTGCAATTAAAGAAAGTCTGAAATTCAATATGAAGAAGAAAGCCTCATCTCCAACTCCTCCCACTTCCCTTTTACTTCCCAAGGGTATAGAGGTCAGAGATGACATCCATACATTCATCAAGATCAAACCAGCAGCTTTGTGGCTACTGACTTTTCAAGAAATCCGAAACACTTAAAGACTCATTGCTAACAATGGGTCTTTGCAAGCATGGCGACGATCCAAACAATGGCAGTAAATTGTCTTCAATGGCAGTAAATTGATTTCAGACTGTCTAAAAATGCATTATGGGATGCTTGCGTAGCGCAATGGCTCATTGTTAGCAATGAGTCTTTAAAGCTATTTCTCAGAAATTTAGAAAGCAATTGGTCCAAGAGGCAATGGTTCAGCCATGGAAAAACAGCAGAAGTAAGCAAAATCTGTTAAACTTGAAAGCAGCTTACAGGGATATTTTAGGAACAATACTGCAGCCGGTTGAATTAGGAAAGTACCAAAGATGAAAATTAATAGGAGCTTATGTAAACAAGGCCTGCACGGGAAAAACTAAAATAAACAGATATCATAACAAGTTTTATAATTACATTGAAGCATTGGGAGGGTTCAATTTTGGTAAACTTCCAAACAATTTATTGACAGTGTCATAAATACCTTAAAATAAGCAGTGCAGAATAAGAAAATTATAGCAGTTACCAACATAAAGGATTGCTGTCCTAGCAAAAAATCATAAAAGTCCTTAAGATATCTTCAGTTCTTGATTCACTGATCTAAGAACACCAAGGGTAAATGACAGTATTGGCTTACAGTGGAAGTGGAAATGTTACAAGTAGCTTGACAGAAAAAGCTGCCTAGGGCTCCTTTGCAGTATTTCATTCAGATTGTTCTTGAGACACCAATAATCAGCCAAACTTTCCAAATAATTGTTTAGATGTCTGAGGTTAAAAAAGCATGACCTTTGTAATTTATACATTTCATTAACCTCGTGACTGGGATTTCATACTTGCCACAAGGTTGAACATTAAGTTCCTCTTACATAGCATCTTTGTCTATTTGATTAACCTAACCTTCTTTGATTAAGATTCTGTCAAATCAAAAGGCTCTTTAACACAGTAAGATTTTGTCAAGTTTGATTTTCTAAAAAGTGTTGCAAAAACAGAGAAGCAAATTGATTTGGGGGCTATGGCTCTAGTTTTGCAAAAGCCCGCTCATTACTGTGCCTGTAACTTGGGGGCTAAGCATGCTTTTTTGAAGAATATGCACCACAGTGAGGAAATGAATTACCTCTATAATAACTTTTTGAGAATCAGTTTTGAACGATTCAACAAGATTATCTATCAATTTGATATTCTGTAATAAATGTGTCAGTCTCATTGTTATTTCTGCATTTAGACAGGTCTGGGGAAGTAAATAAGTGACTTATTGACACTAGATTGGACTACATGGTGTGAGAAAGTGAAAATTCATTCATTCACCTTTCAGTTTACTGGAAAAAGAAAAATAAAATGTTTGACTCATGAAAAAATTGAACTCAACTGTCAAACTTCCATTCAGTTTTTAATTTTTCCTCTGGTTTGAAGATTGTTCAGTGGTTAGGGACCCAGACTACAGATCCAAGGGTCTTGACCTTCCCAGAGAGAGGAGGGTCATAAGCTCTATGCAATTCATTTTCCTTAAAGGTCACAGACTACAGATCCAACAATCTGGGACTTTAAGTCTTTGATATAACCAAACTTTCACCCAGAGTAAAGGAAGTCACCTGTTCTCTTCAAGGCGTTGACGTTGCTAAAATGAGGAACAAGCGGAACAGCCTAGTAACAAGCGGAACAACCCAGTAACAACCCAGTAACAAGCGGAACAACCCAGTAACAACCCAGTAACAAGCGGAACAACCCAGGAACAAGCGGAAATGTGAATTAATTGTTTAGTAAAAAACACATGAGGGCGTTTATAATCCAACTCTCTGAAGTTCATGTGGGCTAGAACTATCAAGAGGCCGTCAATCATGTCTTCGTCTGTTTCGGGGGCTTTGTGTTTTTGCCAACAGACAGAGAGAATCTATCGACCCCGGATCGGGACGAAAAATAAATAGTAAAGCATGCCTAAAGGGGTATATGTCAAAATATTTATTTCAGTTCTGATGTCGTTATATTTTGTTACAATTTATGAAAAAATATAAATGCTTGTTTGATTTTTGTCGGAAAGTTTCTCACCTCTCCTGTGAATTTTCCTATTGACGCCACTGTCTCTTAGCTATTAATATAATTTATGTTTGCTGTTTAATATAATTTGAGCATAACTGATATCTTAACACCATAATGCAGAAAAATGAAATTTCTTGAAGTATATGAAAATGGAAAACATTTAATTCGTTAACTAAATTCGATCACAACAGACACACTGTTGCAACTAGATGTGGATGCCATAGTGTAAATCTGTACATGTAGCCCTGTTGCAATCACATTTTTAAGGCCCGTCGGAGCCGGGGGGCTGGGGGGGTGGGGGTTTCTGGAGCCCCACCAATAATTGTCTTACTGTAGTATGTTTCCTTTATAACAATGTACTGCATGGGAAGGAATACAATGGGCAACCTCTTACAACTGACAAAGACATGGAAAACTTATAATTTGGATTAAAGAAGAGGTTAACTTTCCGCCTCAGTAAAAATGATTCTAGGCAAACCATCAGTTTCCTGGTTCCTGGATTTTCCGACTTTTATCCCACGACAAGGGCATGATTTTTCTTGTAGGCACATCAATGTCATTTTTCTCCCCAGGCGATTGAATGGCGCAATATCGTGAAATTTTGATGGCAAGGTGACAAACACGCAACCAATGTTTGGCGTTTCCATCATCATCATAAAAAAATTAATTTATCTAAATACACTTAGTTGAAGAGCAATAATACACTCTAAATACAATCATATCTAAGTACACAAAATATAACAACATTAGAACTGAAATGAATAAATATTTTGACATAGTCAGATATTCTTATTTTTATTTAGCTTTAAATTCTTTCCTATACGTAAAACATAGCAAGTAGATAAACATAGAAAATTTCCAGAAGACCAGAGGTTTTCCGACAAAATAGGAGTCTAGCTCGAGGGGCAAATCACTCCAAGAAAATCTTGTACACCTTTTATGAAAATCCTATTGTTTTATCTGAAAATCCCTAGAAATCCTTTTGTTTTGGTGAAATCTTGTACGCAATTTTCAAGAGTAAATTGCCCCTCGGTCTAGCTCTACGGGGTTTTGTTGCCCCCCTCTGATTCCTTCTATCTTAGCCACTGTGGCCAGAGCAGTTTACCCAGCATAGCTATTTTAGCAACCAAAATAGCCACCAGAGCAGCCACCATTTTCAAAAATTTCTGGGGGAGCATTCACCATACCCCTTTAGGCATGCTTTACTATTTATTTTTTGTCCCGATCCGGGGTCGATAGATTCTCTCTGTCTGTTGGCAAAATCACAAAGCCTCCGAAACAGACGAAGACATGATTGACGGCCTCTTGATAGTTCTAGCCCACATGAACTTCAGAGAGTTGGATTATAAACGCCCTCATGTGTTTTTTACTAAACAATTAATTCACATTTCAGCTTGTTCCTGGGTTGTTCCGCTTGTTCCTGGGTTGTTCCGCTTGTTACTGGGTTGTTCTGCTTGTTACTTGGTTGTTCCGCTTGTTCCTTGTTTTAGCAACGTCGTCAAGGCATAGGAGTCACAAGGTGTGGTCACATCGAGAGAAAGGACAATACTAATCTTACTGTCCAATAAAAACTAAGTAAGCCACAAAATATTTCATTTGAATGCATGCCAAACGCTGGAAAAAACCTGAGTGTATGCCAAAGATCTTTGGGACTAATTACATAGAATTTCTCTAATGAACCACTAATTACAATGATGTGTCTTCTGCTCTTTCTTTCTCTCTCTGAGAGGAAAGAGCCTCTTTCATTTTGACCACCAACCAATTGTTCAATTTTATATATATATATAGCATAACAGCAAAAAAGATTATGTATTTTCCCTATATAGAAAATTTTACTGCAACTGGTTCTCAATATATAGCTTTTATAAGCACATAAAAATGGAACTTTGTTTATTTGATTGAAAAATGTAGTACTTAGTACTTTTCCTTTCACTTCAATGATTAGAAAATCCATCATTTTTTCTTCTGAAAAACGCTTCTTATTTAAAAGGCGTTGTTGAATGTGGTCTTAAAAACAAAAATCATAGGTAGAGCAGCCACCCTTGACGGTGAACTGCTGCCATACATACACAGTACGTACACTGCATATGCATGCACACATGCTGGCATGATACATCAAACAAAAAAGATATATCTTACCGTTGCCCCCTGTAGAATATTTGATATCGTTTCCTCCTTTTCTTCTGCAGAGACATCTTCTTCTAAAACTCCTTTTAAGTAATCAAGGAATATGTCTTCATCTAGCTGCAAAAATTTAATTTTATCGCAAAGCCACTCATCAAAATCCTTGGAAGCCATTTTGAAGACAGCCTCGTTCTGTTGCCTTACAACTTCCCATTCCCAGGCTGTAATGTCCTATGAGTCGGAGTCACTTTTTTATAGATCAGTGGTCGGAGTCAGGAAAAAATCACGGCCCCGCGGCCACTGGCAGGAGAAAGGTAGTAAGAACAAAGAGAAATTGAGGAAGGTGGCCAGAAATTTGGAAACTTGTGGAAGTTGAAAAATTATTATTGCCTTTGTTTTTCAAAAAACAACCATAAAAAAATTAAAAAAATAATAAAATGAAATTCAAATCTACTGTTTTTATAAACATGTATGTTTGCAAAATTGCTTTGCACCGTAAAGCTTAGGCATTAACGTTTTTATAACTTTTATGTTTTAATAATGGTACACATTTTACTTTAAATCTGTGAATCTGTCTCTAAAAATATCTACACTCATTTTCTTTGATAAAAAACAGGTTATAAGAAATAGTAGGCTCAATTTTTTGAATGTTAAGAAAAACCCTACCCAAATGAAAAAGCTAAGCAACTTTTATAATTTGCAGTTTAAATTTTCCGAGTTGACACTCAAAACAGTCTTGACATTGAGCATCACTGTATATTGCAAAACGACACTTGTGCAGTTTGCATTCATTCTCAGTAAATTGGACACTCAAGAATTTTCCATTTAAAAATTTGTTTTGACTTCAATTTGACATTGATTAAGTCAATGAGCGAAAAATTCATTATCTAAGAAATTTAAGAAACATGTAAGAAATTTTTAATAGCAAAATGGCCGGAAAATTTAAGAAACTGCCTACCAGCACCGGACCTTGGTGCTTATAAAAAGTACGTCTATAATTGAAAACAAGCTACAAATTTCTAGAAAAGTTTGCAGAAAGTGTTGCCAGGAGAGGTGACGAAGTCTAGTTGACTACCCCCAATTTCTTGACCACGCCCATTTCAAACCATTAAAAACGAGGAAAGTTTTATAGTAAGTTTTTTAACCGAAGGAAGGTTGACAACTTTTCTGGACCCTGAGCATGAGTTGGTTTTTGTTCAAACAGGGCCGGCGAAACGTATTTAAAAGTGGAGGGGCCAAAATATCAAAGTCTTGAAAGGGCTTAGGAAAGGCCGTCGCCATGGTTGCCGGCAAGAAAAATTTCACTTTTATGGTGTCTTAGTGATGGCCAGATACTGTATCTGAAATGAATTTTGACTGAAGGTGTCGCATGATCGCGTCTATTGTGATGCTGACTTGAAATAGAAAAGGTTTGCAAAGTTTTAGAATAACCATTATCACATAACTCGTGATGAAACCTTTTTTAGATTTCAAAATTACCCGAAATAAGATGAGTGAAAAAAATAAATGAAACACGGATAAATAAAAAACATTAACGTTGAAATATCAACAGAAGAACTATCAGCTAAAAGTAAAAAATTAAGCAGATTTGTACAGTTAAGATATAACTTTGTAAAATCTTATCTTAACTTCTTCGGAAATTAAGTGCTTTAACAAAAATTTGAAAAACCTTCAAACTGGGCTTGTCAAAATGAGTTTGAATAGAATGTTTAGCTTGGTGTTTAATTATTCTTAAATATATTTATTCATCTTTATAGTAATTGACATCTTTTAGAATCAGACTGTAGTGGAAATCAGCAAGTATTTTATAAAAGGTGCGTTTTCTGGCGTTCCGAAGGCCTAAGGATATTTTCGGTCGCGCCCTTTTCAGCACACCCCCTCCCACTTTTAGACCGGTGCGCGGTGCCTGATTGTTCCAGAGGTTCATGCTTATATAAAGCAACGGCGTATCGACATACGACAAACTACACGTAAATTGTTTACGGCTAAACCAACGAGCAATATCTTGCCGAACTCTTACTATTGATTAAAAATTCAGCTATCTAATTAATAGCAATTAAGCTAATGACAATGATTCTGCAACGCAGAACACTGAATGCAGACTTTCTTAGCATGGTATCTGTTGCATTGTGGGTAATTTCGAAATGTTTCGAGGCTCGAAGCTTGGCGGGTTCCGTTTGAAAAAATTGATTTGGTGCAGGTGGCCGGTATTGAATTGTTGAAAACAAAAATTCATTTTCAAGCATTCGAAACACTCAACGACAATGCATTCTCCCAGCTTAGTGTTTTTGAAATACTTCTTCTCACTTTGGGCAGAGTGAAGTGTTCAAAAGCAACCGGATCTTCGTTAAAATGGAAGTTGTTGAAGCGAGTGCTATTAGGCCAGACAGTGAGCAGTCACAGACTAACGCTGGCGTTGATATGTTGCCACGGCCTTGCAGCATGCCAAGCTTTGATAAAAAAACTGAACTTGCAAGGAAAAGAATTCTACAGACATTACCATCGAAGCCTTCTGTTAGGCGAGGACTGGTGAGTATTTGTTTATTTGGATTCGTCCGAAAACAATCGGTTGGCTAATTTGACTTTTGTTGACAAAAAGGAGGGTGTCAATTCGGTTGTTAAGGTAAACATGAATGATGGCTTGTGTTTTAAACGAGCGAAATGGTTTTTGAGGTGGAAATTTTTTTAATAAAGTACCCATTTTGTCGTGGATTTATTTTAAGTCTGTCTTGTTTAATTTTTGAAATCAATTTTCTTATGAAATTCCTTCAGAGTAGCGCACAATGCGTCGTTGGTCAACAGTACAGAATTACTTTGATGGCGTGATACAATCGCTTTGGCAATAAGATTACCGATTTTCAATTGAATTTAATTAGTCTGTTTTAAGCAGCCCAAGAATTTGGGAATTTATCCTATTGAATCTGATTACACAAAAGATGTATATATTTCCTTTTCTGGCAAAGAGCTTGCGTCTATAACATCCTTATATCTACATCGCAAGATGCAATAGAACTTTGTGTGTCCACATCCAGGGAGGTTCCTTTTAAATTTTAATGCTGTTTCTTTCTACAACATAAGCTTTTGTCAAAGAAATTTACAATGCAATTTATACCAGTAGCTTATGATTTGATATCATCACCCATCCTCCCTTGTTTACTTTTATAAGTATGCTTTTCTCTATTTTTGATACTTTATGGGCATGTAGAAATTTCTCTGTGCCAGTTATTGCCCATGCTGTTTTGGTATTTTCCTAAATCTGTCTCAGGCAGGTCTTTGATTATTTGCGGCACACATATTTTTCTGTTTGAAAAAGTACTGGCACCCAGTTGGTGCACTCCAATTTCTTGTGCAGCATTCAGCACCACAAATATCTATTAAAAACCAGATCAACACTCATCTCAGGGGATTCCTTTTCTAAGTTTTCAACATCAGTTCATTTAGAGCCAAGTTGGTAATTTTCTGCTCTCAGGTTGCCTTGAGTTTACTGCCACTGGTGGATTCCAATTATTGCCTTAACATATATCTAAGGCATATGATTTTGTCAACTCCAGAATGGATCTACATCCTTCTTTTTTGAAAGGTACTTACAGGTCTGAAGTCAATTTTGGTTGGGTGGAAGCAGTATTTTCAAATTATTTGTGCTGCAATTTTAGTTCCATTTCTATAACTTTGACTTGGCTTCACCTATTATGTCACAATTTTAGGCTATAAAAAGCTTTGACCTTTCTGGCAATCCCCCCATAGATATGATCAACCAAGTATCACAAAATGTGAATGTTTGAGCCAGGATACTTCATAAAGATAGTAAAAGAATTAATCAATCAGCTGAAAATGTGACCAAGCCTTATTTTCAGTACTTTTATTGCTTTATGGTATAAAAAGGCTCAAACGATGTTGAATTTTTAAAAAAGGCCTCTTGAATTTATCTTTATAAATAGGCAAACAATTTTAAACTTTCTTTCATGCGTGTAGAAATTGCATTGGTTTATTACTGAATCAGCCCCAAAGTTTGTTAGTCAATATTTCACCAAATTAGATAATAAAACATTTAACAAACTGCATTATTTTGAGGATATGCTGCATGTTTTTCTGATTTAGAGGTTTTGAAAGAATAATTCTTCCATTTAGAAACATTTTTCTTTTATTGCGTAGGAGAACAAGCCATGGAAGTCAATGTCATCAAGTCAAGGGTTGTTTGGAACAGCATCACCTGCTTTTGGGACTCCCTCTTACCCAGCACATTTAGATATGATAAGAGCACCAGATGTTGGCCTTAGTACATCTGATATCTCTAGCTACTCATCAAATGAGCTGAACAATAATTTCCTTGACTCACTAATACATGAAGCAAGGGCTGGTATCTGTAATGCTGTGAAGAAAGAAGGAGATCTGGCATCTTCTAAAAGTAAGCAAGACACATTTTCATATATCTAACATTGCTATTTAAGCAGGCCTTGCCATTTGAGGAGAGTCATAACTCTTGCTCCTCTCCAGGCTCTCCTCAAACGCTGGAGGGGAGCTAGAGATTGCTCTCCTTGAAATCAATTTTTCCTTTGTTTCTATTCTTAAAGCTCACCTGAATACTTATAGGAGAGCTGTTTACTACTCCCTTGTTGAAATTCTTATGGCCAGGCCTGTATTAAAGTTATTATCAGATGTTTACTTGTTGACCTTAGTATTTTTAAAACCTCCTTTGAAAGTCCATGTCTTCTTTTTCTGGAATTACAAGTTTTTGCATGTTTGCTCTTCTCAATGTGGATACAATAAACCAATGACCAGTTTTAGTTTTATATAATCATGTTTTCTTTCAATGTTATCATATATTTATAGGTCTTTTTCCACCTAAAGATTGATATATCTATCTAAAGTTCAAGCTTATAAAAACTAAACATTTGTTCTAGTTATAAGCTTGCTCTATATGAGCTCAGGTGATAACTCTGTTATCAAATTTTACATATCTACAATCTGCCATTGGTTTTATTAGTTCAAGGTGTCATATCAATTGGAAGTGTTGAGTAGAAAAACACAATTTGGCAAATACAACATCTCTCCATTCAGTTAGGTCTTAAATGTCATTTGGTTTAATGTCAGCACCAGATTCCATTTGAAAACATTATTGTATTTTCTACCAGTATTTTCAAACAACTGAGAACTAATGACAACTCAACAAAAATGCTTGAATAAATAAACAATGAGCTCTTTGACTGGCATTTAAAAAAGATCCAATTAAGTGCAATAGTATATTTTTAATGACTCTTGGTTTTTTAGTTAATCGTCTAAAGCATATTTGAAAATCAATTTGTATAAATGAAGAACAATACCAATGCATATCTTATACAGTAAATTTTCTACTTCATCTCATTGGATTTGCAATGAAGTAAGCTGAAATTTTAGTCAATGTCCTAGAAAATGTATCAAAATCATAGAATGATTACCAAGTCATCTTCTTTAAAAAAAATTAACAGTTCAATTTGTCTTCAAGACTGTATTTTTATATATATAAATCTTTCTTTTTTTCCTCTTGCTATCAAAATCTTTTCTAAAAACTGCATATCTTGCTTGCGTTTCAGTGAAAATATTCCCTAACTAGGTATTTTGGTTTCTTTTTTCCTCTTCTCTATTCTTAGCAGATATATTCACCTCTTCTTGTTTACCAACTACTCATAACCCATCATGTTTTTAAGGTGTGGAGAAGGCCGCTTTACTTTAAACTTTCCTTCTTGAACATTCTCTTTTTGAATTGCCAACTATATTTAGATAAAACTATAAGCGTTCTTAAAAATTAACCGTCCATAAACAAGCAATTAAGCAATCAGCTCTAGTTGAAATGTCACAATTTAAAGACAAACACTCGAGAGAAAATCGTAGCAAATGAGAGGAATATTATTTCTTGTTTCATTTTCAGTTTTTGAATGCTTGCTTTCAATTAGACGTCTCTAGGTTTCTTACAGTAGCTATCAGATCCCTATGCATTTTGAGAAACGTTAACAAAAAAAATAAACGAAACAGCAATATAGATAGTTTCGTATCATACCTTTTGCTACTCCACCTTTGTGACCTTGCAACCATTTTTCCTTTTTCTTAGAAAACCTCGCTGAGTCACTTCACAGTTTCAGTTTTGCACCTGGATTTTCACGTGGGTCTTTTGCACCAAGCCCGAGTCCTGGCCTGAACTCCTCACTTAATACGTCATGGCAGTTTTTCAATTTCGTCGGAGGAGCCGAAGTCGGAACAGTTTTCCCAACAACTACAAGGAACCCCGTATGTATAAGTTAGACTTTGGTAGTTCGTGTGTGGATTTTCCTAAAAAATGTGGTTGTAACTTTTACAAACCTGTTATAAGAACCTCAAAAGTACCAGATTCGCAAGGACCAGTCGAAGTTTAATCAAATTTACTTGACTATAGTCAAGGTATTTTCTGGATATATTTTAGCGAAGAATCAATGAACCACAGTCACTTTAAAATCTATAAAATTGAAAAGCACTATTCAGGTATCTGGTAAATCGCTTTGAGGAGAAGTTTTGATTTGGTTTCCAAATCACAATAAAAAATCTGCAGTTAAAAAAACTGACCAAAAAATAAAGTATTTATTTATCTCCACGATATCTGTCAAAAAGAAAGCTTGCAGTTAAAATTGATACAAATTGATTGAAAAATGAAGGCTCGATTCCACGATGTTTCTCAAAAACGCTATTATTTCATGAAATTGTTTTTCTTTTCTTTGAAGAAAACGTGGTTTTGTGTATCCATTTTGCTTTTGATGGATCTAAATCAAAGAAACGAATTAATGATGACATAAAAGGCATTCTATGCCATTAAAAATGATTTTTATTCAGATCTGCTTAGAAAGTAATACTGTTGTGCTAACATATAACAAGGGGTCCTTTGGAAAGTTTCCTGTCTGCAAATCAGAATCATTTTCCATCAGTATCACCTGGTGGCTTTTATTTGTTTTAATTTCCATTCATTTTCGCTGTCTTGTGATTTCGATGTTGATATATGATGCTACCAAAAGCTGGCGGTTTCCTGGAATGAATCTGTTTACAGCTTAAATGCTAGCCGTCATCTTTGTACTTGAGGCATGTTCATTGATTTAACCTGAACAAGAAATGACAAGAAGCTGTTTTCCTGGAGAATTGGTAATCCTTTCTGTAGTAGGCTCAATTATGACGTCATTCTCACTTTAAAGGTCTTCCATCAAAATATCGAACTGTTAAAATTTATATTAGGGATAGGATTACCGCGGCTTCTGACACAAGACATGCACTCAAATTGAAGCTGCCAAAGACTTTGAATTATACCTCTTCAAATCGCAATAGTTTTTCTATAATTTGAAGATTTCCTTCCCCAAATAGATGTTGGGATGCGAAGCTATAGTTTGATTTGCTATTTCATTAAGAACACTGATATTGTTATTTTATTCTTAAAACTTTTGAAGTTAATGGAAACTCTACCGATTGATTTATACTATTGTCCATCAAAAAGTGTTTTCAGATACCGAAAGGGCGGGTCCTATTACATCATTCGAAGACCGGAGCATGAAGTAAGGCGTGGGATCATGCATTAATTATTTTTATTATTCAACGCCCAAGACTCTAGCATTAATTATTCTTCCTAGAACAAAGCAATCATTACGATAGATGGCCGGACGTCAAAGATTCTAGTTGCCAATGAAATCGCTGGAAAGTTGTTTGGTTATCTTAACGACGAGCTGTGTGGCATGAAGATGTCCAAGCTGTTCACGATGAAAGACGGATTCAAACAAGATGCCTTGCTTGAGCAGCACATTGATGTTGATGGAAATATTGTGATGGTTTCTGGCAAAGTGGTATGTCCGCTATATAACGGAAGCCCTCGAATAAGCCCCTATCTTCGAATAAGCCCCCCTACCCTAAAGTAATTTTTGTAAAATAGGCCCCCATCCTCGAATAAGCACCCATGGGCCGAGGAATTGCCTCGACAGCAATAGGTTTATCACATAATATCTGCATTTTTAGCAAACTGACCAGCCTCAAGTAGAAGAACAATAGTTCCCCTAGTAATATTTTGGCTTCTGCTAAATAAGCCCCCGCCTTCAAGTAAGCCTCCCTTCGAATGAACCCCAACCCAATTTTTTTTGGAAAATTAGCCACCAGGGGCTTATTCGAGGACTTACGGTAGCAACAAATGCATCATAAAATCATAAAGTTGACACATGAGATTATTTTGACTGTGAGTAAAGGCTTTGGGCGAGGGTGGGGTGAAGGGTAGAATGTACGGTAGGGTGCCTTTCACTTCACACGATCGTACCCTTTCGATGCCCCCCATCTCACACAAAAGTACACCAAACTATTACTTTTTGTTGAAAGCGCACATAACTGTTAAATGCTGACATGAAAAACGATTTTGAAGCTGCCTCCCGATAAATGCAAAATCCATCCCTATGCTAAGGCTCCGGTTGTTTGAGATTCTTATTTTTGTGTATTCAGGTCGAGGCAGTGGACTGTGATGGATGCATCATACCAGTTTCACTTTGGATGAAAATGGTCCATTCAGACGGGGACCCGAGATGTGTGGCAATCATTGAGCCTGTTCAAAGGGCTGTCGGCTCTTTCCTGTTCAATGCAGAGGTTCGTGCTACATGAAGTAACTAACTGTTTAACATGTTGAAAGTCGTGTTGCATGGTATAAATGGGAGGAACTCGGTTTTACTATGCACTTGCCCTTGTGCATGGGAAATTTCCAGCAATCTTAGAACTTAGAACTAGAAGTTTCTTAACGTTTGTGAGAATTAAGAACTTGAAATTTCTTTTTTTGTCTATAAATTTGGGATTGCAAAAATAAGCTCGCCATAGATAGAAGTTTAACTTTTATTGCTAAGAAGATAAAACAGAAAAGGTTACGCTATTCAGTTTGAAACAGTCTTAACATTACTAAACAGATTATGCTGCTCAACTCATCACCAGATTGAAAACTCGATTCCTTATAATGTTAAAGCTTAGATCAGGTTGATACTGGGTGATATTTCTTTGTTATGTAACATAAAAACTTATTTTACATAAAAATAAAAACTCATCAACCTACTTTTGACAAGACTGAAAGCTTGACTTCGAAACTTCGCTCTCTGAAGCACCACGTTTGTAAAGAAGTAAATATAGAAGAATATTTATTGTTTATGCTACAATTTTTGATTCAGCTGTTTAGACAAATTACCAAACAAAAAGCAAGTGTCGTCAATTTTAGCTAAGCAGCAAGCCAGTGTCCTGTCCAATTCAAAGCTGATGAAGTGCTCGTCACATCAAAAATAACTTTGGCTTCATAGATGCATGATCCCAATCTTAATTTAGTTTTAAAATTCGAATTATTTTTTGTGTCCTACTTCTTTGCTTTTTCGCTCATTTGGCCTAAGCCACGAAAGCAGCAAAAACCTGACGCAATTCGAGGCGAATAGTTACATAGCTTTAGCCAAAAGTAGATGACGTTGACCCAGCTTTCAACAACAACAAATGAGTTCTGTTCTAATGGAATTATTAATAAACAATTAAGCTTGATAGAGTTTTAAGGCGGACCTGAAGAATCCGAATAGTCATCATGTTTTCGTCGATGTCATATTCGTAGGAGAGCGTTCCCTGACCCTAGGCGATCTGTGGTTCGCTAATGCAGTAAAAAAGCCCCTTGACGTGTATGACTCGAGGTTAATCGGATTATCCTGACCGGATTCTTAAGTTTCGCCAAATTTATACATGACAATTATAAAATTATGAATTTTTGACATTACAAGCACTTTTTATGCAAAACATGACAGAGGTGGGATTCGAACCCACGCCTCCGGAGAGACTAGAGCCTAAATCTAGCGCCTTAGACCACTCGGCCACTCTGCCTCTATCTTGCATAATTTGTATGATCTAAATAATGTTTTATATACTTATAGGGGACTATAGTTGATTGTGACTCACAATTTGCCCTATTACACGGATTCTCAAGCCCGGAGGAAGTTGTCGGAGAATCAATCCTGAATTTGATTCCGGCTTTTATGTTACCGATACCCGGTCACGAACTTGCACGGGTGAGTTGCAAACAATTGATGTTGACTTTGACTACAATGATTACGTATGAAATTCCTAATTATGCAAGCAATCCTCTTTTAGTCAGCCAATCTTAAAATGATAACATCTCTGTTGAAATTGAAAGGAGAGCTCTTGAACTAGTTACAATATATTCCTTGTTACCACCAAGCATTGCATTGCTCATGCTGCTCCGTCTCCCCAACAAAGAACCAATGCTAAGCAGCACCACCAATAACGTCACCAGTACCTTATATATGCACTAGATTTTACTGCATCTTTTTTATCTACACGCGAAAAATTTGTATTCTCACATCATTTTCATAAACCTTTGTTAAGTGTTATTTGTTTTGTACCTAGTCTTTGAAGAAACAGAGAGCTACTGGAAAAACGAAGGATAACACGCGGTTTCCCGTGAGCATTCAGATTTCTGAATATGACAAAGAATCCCACGATTTGTACCTTCGCAGAGGGCATCCCGATGATATACAGTTTAGTAAGTTCCTTTACAAAGGCATCGTGTGGGTCTTCTCCAACATTAGTGGTTTGATTAGCGTTTCACCCAGTGGACGGATACACAGCTGTAATGGCAATTTTTCCATGATGCTGTTTGGGTATTCTGAGCAGGAGCTTGTAGGCAAGGTACTTTATCTCGTTTTTAAACTCGCTTACTTTTGCTCAGCAGATATGTTAATGTAGGCCATACAGAAACAGTAATCAATGTAAGACAAGGCTGGAATAGAAAAAGCCATTTTAAAATTAGCTTGTGTAGAATTGTCGACCAGCTAATGACGCTGACCTCGAATATCGATATCTTAATGCGGTGGAAAACTTTTATTGTTCAACATGTATATTCTTGTATCTACCAAAAAATTTGTAGTTAAACTGATTTGGCAGAATAAATCTGTCATCCAACCTGTCCTGTATTAAAAAGTTGTGTTTTTACCATAATTTGTTGAACGTAAAATGCAAGATTTAAAAGAAAAAGAAAGAAATTATACAAGCAAAAGATTGGTTTTCGTCGTTAAAGGTTATCTTCAAAGGGCGCTAGATTTTTAAATACTGTTGATCCCATTGAAACAACCCCGCTTTTGATTTCCAAAACAAGAAACAATAGTAGCTACTGCCATACTTCAAGTAACTTGTCTCAATAGTAACCCTGCACTTGATATCGAACAGCTATAGATATGTCTACGTTTCATATTGCTGAAGAGATTTTTAGATTCAATAATATAACACTTATATGGCATAAATAAATTAAGCAAATCTGGAATTACAGGATCTGACATGTCTTGTACCGTTTTTCTACGATCACGTGGAGCTGGCAGAAGATCGAAGCTTGAAAATTCCTTCAATCAGTGACGACGGTGAGATCCACCTTGACCCAAAACGTGACACAGCGTTGTCTGGGAATTTCGCTATCGGTACCTCGAGCGTTTCCGATGGGTTTTCAGGTAAGCTAACGTTGCAGGTGCATTCATCGTTACGTGTGACGTCAAAACCTTATCCTACAGTTCACCTCAAGAAAACAGAATTGAAGTGTTATACTCCTTGTTTCTTCAAAATGACGTAATTGCAGTATAATGGCTTATGAAAATGTTTCTTTCTGTTCTGTGTCTGTAGTTAGAGTTATCCAGCATCTTACAGTACTTGATATTCTGAAAGTCTGGGCGAGATTTCGCATCGTTAACGTACTAATGACGTGTCTCAATGCTGGAATCGTGTCTCAATCATTTTCGAATCTTAATGTATATAATTTTTATTTCCACACTTAGACGTTGATAGCATGCTTGGAAACTGCGAGTATATGAATGACTTGAAAGGTGTTGCTGAAATTTCACAATCAAATTCAGAGCTGACAGGAGCATCTTCACTGACGCTTGAAAGTGATGCCCAAGACAGTAAGTGTTTTTACCAAAATCTGTTTTTTTGCAAGTTGAAGAAAAGAAGTCATGCATTGCTCATATTCGATTTTTTATGATTCATAGTATTATTAAGTATTAAAAGCAAAAACAAAAAGTAACGGGTGTTTCTCTTTTCTCTTTTTCAGCTGATAGTGGACTGCCCATCAAATCTATGAACGGATCTTCCACATCAGAAAGCTCGTTTTTGACTCCTAGGCCAAACGGTGAACAGTTTTCATCCACCCCTGAAATCGAAAGTATCAAAACTAATGCGGCCAGAAGCCGAAGTGAAAGAGGCTGTCTTGTTGTAGAAGAACAGAGGGAACCTAGTACCTTACAAGTGGTCACAAATGAACTTGCAAGCGAATCTTCAGGAGAAATTAAGTGCTTGGATTTGGAAAAGTCGAAAATTCTAGAAAGTACGGATGCTCCAAATTGCAGTTGTTTATCTGGCCAAGACTCATGTAATACGGAAAATACATCGTGTCATAAAAGTTGTTGTATTTCAGAAAATGAGGGAGTAACTAAAGCTGAAAAGGAACTAACTGCGAAGAAAGCAGATTCTATTGATAGCAAAGGAAACTTTGATAGTGAAAATAAGTGTTTGGATGCAGGGAAAGATATTGAGGCTAACAGTGGAAAGTATAATGCTGATGAAAAAAGTTTGGGACAAATGAAGGATGGTGAACTTGATGGTGCTGATGATAAAGAGAATTTAATAGATGAAGTAGGAAAACCGGAAAGTGTCACAAATAAGTCAATAAATAATGTTGAGAACCAGGAAAGCATAATTGGAAAGACATTAATTGATTCAAGGGTGTATGTGCTTAATAAAGGTAAAGAAGAGACATCTTCAGAAGAGCACAGTCTTGCCCATACTGAGTGCAGAGATATGCCCACTGCTTTGAAATATGACAGTAGCACATTTAGTGAACCAACCAACTCTCATATGTCTAACGAAAATACTGGCAGCAGGGGAAATGCGTTTGTTAACGAGGATGGGTTGGTCGTGCTTGATGCAATGCAGGAGGGCAGTAAGAATCTTGAACAAGAGCCAGAGGCAGGTGATAAAGTAGGAAAAGTAGATAGCAGTTGCGACAAAGGAGGCTGGCAGCCAAACCGGGTGACATCAACTCCCAAGCTCGATCGGGCTGATAGTCAGACTACTAAAAAGATTTTCGAAGGGAATTTTTGCGGGCAAGCAAGGCATAAAGATGGATCCCTGCTTCCCATTGTCTTCCAGGTTCGTTGTATTGTTCTTGAAATTTGTTATTTGAAAACTTTTCAGAGAGAATTTTATCGTTTTGCATTAAAAGAAAAAAATGTGTCTGCAAACAATTTTGAGTCTAGCCTACAAAAGAGCCTTCTACGCGGCAACCTTCCTCCGTCCGCAGGCTAGTATTCTAAAAAGTTCATTATTTTAGCAATAGAGTATAAAGTGATCATATATTCTTTTAACATATTCCTTTTTTACATTTTATCCCCCGTGTAGATTAAGCAAATAACGTTAGATCGAGGCCAAGAGATGTTCTGCATTTGGGTGTCACGTGATCCAGAGGAACACGGTGAAGGAAGTAGAGCGCCTTCGCAGATGCTTTTTACATCGAGCTTCAACAGTACTCTGAACACTTCACATGGTGGTTACCTCTACGATGTACGTATGTTTAATAAAGTCGCAATAGGTTTTTCCAGTACGTTTAAAAATGACATAGAATTCAATGTTGTTTTAGTTGAAAAAAACTTCAACAGTCAAAAGAATTTAAACAAATTGGCGAAGTAAAATTAAATTAGAAAATATGTATACCAGAACTTCACATAAGGAGAGTACAGTGTGGCCAGATCTCAATTTTGTAATTATGCCAAATTTGTTATAAAATTATGCTAGATTTACAAAAATTATGCTAAATTTCAAATCAAGGCAATCCTGTTCAAGAAAAAGGCTAGCGCATGCTTAGAATAGCAAAATAGGCCCAGAGTTGCCATTTGGCCTTTTGATCACTGATCTAAAATACAGTGTACTCCTTTTTTGTACACAAAGAGGCAATTTAGATCAATGGTTTTGACATCAAAATTCTTCATTTTGGCCGATTTTCAAAACCCCTTGGCCGTCATAATTTGATTTACCCGAAGAAGCAAAAGTTGGCAGAATTCTGGCAGCATGTTACAAAAAACCACATAAAAGCAAATGACACAAAAAATGTTGGCACAGATTTCATTTAACATCTTTCAGAATAATTTCAAAATTGAAAATGACGAAACACGAAACAAAGTAAAAAATAACAGACAGTGTAAGATAAAAGAAAGTGAAATCTTTCGTGACCTCAACGCAAATTTTGATTACACTATCACTTTCCACAATTAGCAAAAATTTAGCTTTTTTGTATACTGCGTTTAGCTGGCTGAATTTGGTTGCCAACATTAAAATATTTGGCTGCCAACCGTTCCAAACATCTGGCTAGACCCTGAAAGTGAAAAGTCACACATTCTGGTGTAAAGTGTTTGCATTTGGTGGAGATAAACGGATCAATGGAAATAATGTTTTTTAAATAATATCGAAATTATGCCAGAGTTATGGTAGATTCCAAAATATGCTAGATTTTATGCTTAATGGCTATTTTTGGCTAATACTATGCTTAAAGCACAATATTATGCTAGACCTGGTCACACTGGGAAGTAAAAAGATGGTATGGGGAGAAAGAAACATTACGTATGGAGCAAGGAAAGGTTTTTGGATATTCAAAGTACTATTCCGTAGCCCAAGATAAGGGTGCCTTATCGAACAGAAATGTCAATACGTTTGTACCAATTAATTTGTGTCAAAATCGAAAGAATTTCAAATGCACTGGTTGCATTTATAGAGCAGCATCTTTACACCATCAAGTTGAAACTTGAAAGCTTCTTTATAATATAACTTAACCTTGAATAAAATCAGTTTAATTCTATTTCACCTTTAGTAAAAATAAAATTTGCCACGCTCTCTGAATATAACGAAGCAGTAATTGAAATACGATGCTATTACATTTTAGCCATTTAAAACAACTGTTTTTTTTATTTTAACAATCATGATCTTTTCTTTAATATGTCTGCTCTTTGAAGAAGATTTAACCATTTTATACTGAGGAACATAATCTGTTATCATAGGCACAGAGGACTGCTGCAGAACTTAGTCGCTCTTTAACTGAAGAAAACCTTAAAGGGCAATATGACGAGAGATATTTGACTTTAAAATCAATCGGAAAAGGGGCTTTTGGCTTTGTAAAGCTTGCACAAAGACGGCTTGATGGGCAAGAGGTAAGATACTCTTTATATGTATGGAATCTTTCTCTGTTTTGGTTAAAGACATCATTCCTATCTGCTAATGTAGCAGGTCTGTGTTTTGATACTATGAAAGATCGCTTATCCTGGTGGTTAGTGATCACAGAGACCTTAACATCCCAAGATCCTTTGATAAAATACTTGCTAAAACGCAGATTTCAGGGCACGAGTTTCATAGTTGCAACAATGAAATAGCTATTTGTACCATATCATAGAGCATGAAAATTTAAAATGGAATGGATGGGGATTGATTGAACAAGTTTCGTGTAGGCTCCTTGCACATTCTTCTGCCTGTACCCAACTTAAACAATTTGTAACCATTAATGCCTAGCATATCTCTTTTCAACCATTTATGTAACGTATCATTTGAACCAATTATGAAATTGAATGTAGTAGGATGTACTTTGAAAAACTGTTTGCTTTTTCATCTCTTAGGTCTCTCGATAGTGGCACTTGAATGTTTCTTGCAGTCAGTAGATATTGAATCTTATTTTTACCTGTCTTGGTCATGTCACTCAAAGTTTCTTTGCTTAATATTTCTGCTACTTCTTGGAATGTTATGCATATCTTTAAATCCAAGAATCCTTTTTATTAGGTTGTTGTGAAGTTTATACAGAAGAGCAAGATAGTGCCAAGCAGCTGGATTGAACACAAGAGCTTTGGAAAGATCCCACTTGAAGTTTATTATCTCGTCAAGATTGATCATCCCAACATCGTTAAGGTTTCAAACATTTCCATTATGTTTCTCAATTTTTCACAATCCTGTAAACGTAAATGTTTTATTCCATGATTTCATGTTTCCACATCATCTCCAGCATTCTTTTTCGTCCAGATTTTGAACACGGGGTTTCAAAAATGGGTTTTTTTTACTTTTGATATCATGAGATATTGGTTGGTTTAAACCTAAGCCTTGAGGTTTCCTTAAAAGGATCTTCATCTACGTCAAACCTCTGCAACGAATCACACCCCAGCATGCAATAAAGTTTGATTCAATATTCCCTGGCCTATAACATATTGCTAAATTTGAATCATGGATTGTCAGCAGCATGCTAGATGTCTAAAACACCATGAATTAAACAAATATTTATATCAACGAATCTTTATATTGTAGTTGGAGTGACCTGAAGGAGAGCCTTTCCACCGCCTTCTCCGAATTTAAATTCGTAGTGCTTGGTTTGTTTGGTACACGGTGTGCAAAGGATTGCTTTTGACGAAAATGGTCGAATGAATGAATTATTTGTTCCCATAAAATGGTACTCTCCTCTCTAGCGATTGTCGCTGAATCCAAAAATCCAGCTCACTTTCCATTTCTTACATGACTACCCGACTACGTAACTAAGCCCAATACTAATTGATGCATTTTCTTATCTGATCATAATAATAACTTAATGTATCCTATCGATTTAGTCATCAATCATGTAAGAGTGTCATTTAACTTTTATCTTAGATGTTTGACGTTTTCGAAAATGATGAGTTCTTTCAACTTGTCATGGAAAAACATGGTGACGGCATAGATTTGTTTGAGTTTATTGATCGACAACCAGCACTGGACGAGCCTTTATGTGCATACATGTTCAAACAGGTGCTTGTTCCCTATTATGTTTCTGAATTTCAAAATTGTTTTTGCTCCCGTGGTGTCTGTATGGAGTTAAGAATCATTTTGACATATAAAGAAGTAAACATCAGCTTGACGTCTTTAAAAGTATTATAAAATTCAAATTTTATTCTTCTTGATGTAACTAAGTATTTATATCATATTCCCATTTCCAAATCAATAGCGAGAACAAGTTGAGAACTCAATCCATTTTGTCCTCTATCAATGCCAATTCTTTAAATGCATCGAAATCTTCATTGGAAAAATCCCAAAATTATCAAAAAAGGACGTTTGCTTGCTTATTTATCTTTATAATTTTGTATACATTGATAAAGCTTTCAACCTATTAGTAGGCCTCAGAATCCTCCTAAAATAGCAGCTGTCTACTTTTGTTTGTATAGTATTTTGAGGCTACTTTATTCAATTAAATTTTCCTTTTATACCTTTTCCAGGTTGTATCTGCAGTGTCATACCTCCACAGTCAGAACATACTTCACAGGGACGTCAAGGTAGCCTATCGTTTCAGATGGCTTATCAGTTTTCAGTATACTCAGCTGATACAAAATCAACGTATTTTAAAGACGCTTTTCATGTTTGAGTGTGTCTACTTGCTCTTAATGTGTATTCTGGCATTGTAAACACTTTAGAATATGATTTCTATTGTGTTGTCTCTTTGCTAATGATTGATTTCGATTAACAGACTGCTAAACAAAAATTTATTCTCATGTAAACAGCAAAAGAAAATGTGTTTGTTAGTTTAATTTAGCGTTTTTAGCTCTTCATTTCACATATACATCCTTTTAACTGTAAACATTTAAGTTGTTTGCACCAAGTTCAATTAGATTGTAATGATCATATCTTCTCTTTTTAAAGGACGAAAACATCATAGTTGACAAACAGTTTACTCTCAAGTTAATCGATTTTGGCTCAGCTGTTTACATGGAACAGGGAAAGCTGTTCAGTACATTCTGTGGAACAGTCGAATACTGCTCGCCTGAAGTACTTCTTGGAAACAAGTAAGATTGAAAATTGATTTTCATTCTCAATAAAAATTCCTATTGACATGCAGTAGATATTTGAGTCTAGTTAGAAAGAAGAGAGCTACTGGTTGTCACCCATGCTCTAAATCATGCGCTTAGATTTTGCTACTTGGATCTGCCCCTTCTTCTGAACAAATAACAATAGATAATGTATAAATTAATCCAAAGTTGCTTCGATAGAATAGGTTTGTGGGTGCTTCACCCATATAATGGTATTTTCTCGCTACTTTTTGGAAAAAATAATGCTTTATACTGTAAAATACAACCATACCCTAAATAATAGGCACTGCAATATTTACAGAAAATCTTAGTTTATGCAACATAAATGGGTGTGTAGAGTAGACTAAAGATGACCTTCGTCTTCTTTTCTTGTCGAAATGTCGATGTCACAGTGACAATATCAATGATTCTTTAAGAGAATCTGTAGCTTTCAAGGCTTCCATATTTTTGTTTCTTACTGTAAATATAGTCTCTGCTGGTCTTGGAAGCTTATTAGATTTTATAGAAAAGTTTTGTTTGTATTTCTTAACCTCTTGTTATTATCTAGAAGGAGGCTTAGTCGCAAGGATTTCAGTATTCGAAAGCTCAAAAATAGTAGAAGAATTAGGTGAGATGCATACACGAAGTAAAGAATGAAGAAATCGAGTTTCTAGTGCAGTCTGTACTTTTGAGTTGTAGAAGTAGAGGTTTTTTATTCAGTATCTCTGTAGCTAGGCAGTTTATAGTTTAGTCATTTCAGATAGTTCTAGTTATTCTAGTTCAACACAAACAGTGGTGAAAAGGACCAATGGCAAGATCAACTTTGTAAGCTCTATGTTAATCGGGTTGTATATGTCTGAGTCAAGAAAGAAAGTTTTTTCATTTTTGCAAAATGGCCGAGATTTTGAAATATTTTGTGTAAGTTCTGTAGGTTCGTTTTTGTATTAGACTTGGTGGCTGCCAATTCAAAATAACGGTTCCAAATCTCTTGACTTAAAATCTAACACCGAGATGGCCAAAAGACAAATGTATCGAATTTTGCATCGTATTTAAGTAAGAGTTTCTAACGAATAAAGACGCTGTATTCGTAGCTTATACAAGAAAGACTACAACAAATGAGGGAGTTTTCTTTTTGTCACTGCAAAAAGCAAATCAAAGTTACTCAGTCTCTTTGTTCATAGTCATATCCCTAATAAAATGCAGAGTAATGATCACCCAGCGAAAGAAGCATCAATCTGTCGATAGACCCCCCCCCCGCATTTGGTTACTTAGACCTGTTGCCTGAGTAGAGGCAGATTTAGTCAAGGTATTATGGCGGTGAGACGTCGCAATATTAAGTTTAAACAAGCTTTATCGTGAAAGACATATCTAGGTACACCCTTCTTTGGTAAAATAACGAAATATATCAGCGATACTGCCTCTCAATATCTGGCCTAAGTCTGTCATAGGGGCGTCCTTCCCTGGTCATTTTCAGGTCTTTTCAAGAAATGCTCTTTTTATTTCTCGTAGATATCGTGGACCAGAGCTTGAGGTTTGGTCAATGGGCATCACTCTTTACACGTTAGTGTTTGGTGAAAACCCTTTTTTCGATGTAGAGGAAACAATCAAAGGAGAACTGCATCCACCGTTCAGAGTTTCTTCAGGTAAATTTACAATACTATGTACTCTGGAGTATTTAGGTACACTGTCAATTAACTGAACCTAGCCATCGTGTTGTGTCCTTCAGGTACTTAGTCGACCATAGTTTGAAGTTTTAGTTTTTAAGCATCGAAAAAGTTTATGGCACCAAGATTTTGGGGTGGACCTTTGGTCAAATATTGGGGGCAAGCCTATTGTTTTGATAAGATGACGTCACATTTTCCTATTGTTTTAGAACAAAATACCAATATTTCCAAATTATTAAGGGGGAGGCACCCACCCCTCGCCCCTATGTGTCCGCCACTGATTAAAACACAGTCTACGCTTCTTGATTGCCTGTCTCTTTATATAACAGAAAAGCTGGTTCTTTGGTTAAACCCTCAATTCAAAGCATACCAATTGCACGCTGGAAATCCTTTTCTACACTCTATTTGGTTGAACATTCTAGCTTAGTTATATGTAGTTATCAACTCTTTCTTTCCATTTTGCAGAACTGATGTTCCTGGTATGCTGGATGCTTCACACGGAGCCCAATTTAAGGGCATCTGTTAAAGACATATCAAGCTACAGATGGCTCAACCAAAAAGTCGACGTTGGCCTTTATGATTACGATACCATCTTTGGTAAGGGAGAATCTAAATGCTTTCTGTTTATTCAAAGATGCTGAAATTGTCACAGTAGCAGTTTAAGGGTACTATGCAAATCTAAAGAAACGAATAATGGAAGCCATGTAGAATTATCTCAGTTTATCTTATACAGACATGCAAAGATTTTTTAATATCTTCTTTCGCGATTCTTTTGCGACATTCGCTTGCAATCATGCTTATTTTACTTTTTCTTTGCAACTTACCTTTGTATCTGTTTCAATGCTAGTGATGACCATCGTAAAGAAAGTTTCTTGAGACTATGTGAAAATTGAGCATATATTAATAATAAAGATACTTTGCGATGAAAACAGTGCAATTGTGAATACCAACTTCTTATTGTGGAGTTAACCAACTTTAGAGTCAAAAGCGAAGGAATATTTTGAATGAATTAACTGTTTGCTAATTAACTGTAAGAAAGAAAAATATTTTTTTGCTGGAAAAATCTCCAATCTGAGAAAAAGTGAAAGGGTTTTGAAAGGAGAGCTGAAATCAAATAGGGAAAGATGGTTTCAAAGTAAATGACCAGGAAAAATTATGCTTGAAACTGTGAGACTGATTTGCCTTAATAAACATTCGGTGACTTACATCTACTTTCACATTTTTAGAGAATAAATTATAAAGGAGTATTTATGATAAAGAGAATAAACGAACATCAATTTTGGTATTCTAAAATAGTTTCCAGTTCCATTGAATTTGCATACGAATTGATATGCATCCAAGGACACAATTGTGTATAAATTCTGGCAACAGCAAGTGGTTTCTTTATGATTGATGGCCGTTTTAAGGTTTTTTGTTAGCCAGTAGTTGTATTGTGTATTTGTTGCTACGTAGCATCCAAAGGTAGTTTTTAGGACACTGAGAAGCTTATGCTTATCGAGCAGTGTCCTGGTCCTTCCTCTCGATGTTACCACACCTCGTGATTCCTACGTCTAGAATTACAGAGAGCTGGCGACTCTCCCCACTCTGGGTGAAGGTTTGGTCATGCCAGGGACTCGCACCACGGATCCTTGGGTCTGTAGCGAGCGCCTCTAACAACTGAGCCATCCTCGCACCAGTTGTCTAACCAAGATCTAGGTTAGTTATAAGTAGGCTCAATCTAGGATTGTTTATGATTCTTCTTCGCTTTTTGTTGAAGCTGAGGACAGAGAGGACTACTACCCTGGCTCTGACGACAGAAGCCCAAGTTCAGCGGAATATGACGAAAACTATGTCCAGTATGATTATGATGAATACGAAGAGGAGCAGGAGTACGTCGCAGAGCATGAAAGACTAGAGGAGGAGTACATAAGGTACTTGCAAAGACAGACCTCACTACCAGAAACGTATGAACGTGAACACGGAGCTTCTTTTTGAAAGGAAAGCAGTCAAAACCAAAGTAGCCCTAATTGAAACATGCAGCTAATTCTGCCTTTTAGCAGAAAACAGATCATCCATCTATAAAGTTTGAAGTTTAGAAGTATATATAGATATAGAGTTAGGACATAATTGGTACTTAAGTTATTCTGTATTTTACTAACGCTTTACAGAGCATTTCATATGCGTGCTCGTTGGAAACAGAGAGTTATTTATAGTTTTAAGCATATCGTTGTTGAGGATTCACTTAGAGCATGTTATGAAACTTTTTAACACAGGTCAAGTTGGATCGCGGAGACCGTGTTTCCACCTGGCCTTACAAATTTTTCAGCAGTCATCTACGCATTATTTTACATTAAAAATCGCCTTTGTCTGCTACTTGCTATCCTGTGAAACTCAAGTTCTCAATTTATCGTTATTTAAGGCGCGATTGCATAAAGATTTTCACTATTAGGCTGGGATTACAGTCCTCCTACCCGTTATGAAATTCTCTCTTTTATCTAGTCATAGGCATGTAAAATTTCTTTGAACGTTTTATAGTCCAGAGTTGAAATTTACGGCAAGCCTAAAAACTCAGCCTTCCTTGTTCTATCTAGGATGAAACTTTTATCCGCAAAGTCCCACATCAGTATCGCATGTTCTTTATTGTTGCAGATTACACGCCACTGAAGTTAAAATGTTCAGCCCTGGGGTGTAAAGTTTGGCTATAATGAAAATTTTCATGTAATGGTGAAATTTGCGCCTTGGTTATGTGAAAATCCTTAGTAATGAGGCCATTAGTTTGCTTTCGTACGTACAGACAAGAAATCGTATCCAAACAGAATCTGATAGGACTAAGTGGCTTTCGTATTTTGATTGACCGTTGTTTATTGGCAGACACTTTAGCCAATCAGAATCACTTTGGGAATACTGAGGTCAGCACAATCAGCAAGAGCATGAAATTTGTAAATCTACGACAGGCTTTGTTATCCACCAGCTGGTGTTTTTTGTTTTAGCTTTTATGATAATCTTCTTTAACAAAACATTTTTTCCATTTTATGTTGATGTTTTATCGAATTGCTTTTAACGTGCTATGTTAGTATTTTTTAATTCGAACTTAATCTGAACAACTTTGTCGGTTTTTCAACTTAAGTTGTAAAAATAGTCAAAGACCTTCTAGGGGTTTTGTTGTCGATTGTTTTGATATTGAAATAGATTTCCCTCAATACTGGGTATTCAGACGTTGATTCTTCGTTTTAATAGCAAATCTATGGAAATACTTGTTTTACAGTTTTAATAAGTGGTGATTTCTAAGTGGGAGGGGGGGGGGGCAACCCTATCTTATGAAATGTCCCCTGGAGCCCCTTTTGTTAATTTATTTAGAAATCATCCCTGGTAAAATACATCGGTATTTGCATATCGAGCTGTATCGCGAACAATAGGGTGAAGCACTTTAAAAGCTGTTGTCTTTTGATGTTCCCTTAAAACCCCCAACCATTTTATTTGAAATTTAGCAAAAGTAGAAAAGAAAATCCCTCGGAATAAAGTTAGTTCAAATGTATTTAAATAATCGCGTCATTCTTTATACATTTATAAGGGAGGCTGTTTTGCTGCCTTTGTTTGACTTTAGTTTTATTGACTTTAGTTTAGGATATATTTTGCTCTTGTATCGATAAGAACTATATTTGTGGTGTTTATATTGCTTTGTGAGATATTGTTAAAACCAACCAATAGATTTTCAAATCGAGCTGCTATCATGCTAGTCATTTCCTTCTGTGCTCTATCTCTGTGTTCTCAACTTTGTTGGCAAATATCGGCATCGCTGATTGATCTAACACTTAACAGTTTCAAAGAGACAAGCTAACATCTGGGTTATTTCGTATCCTTGAATTCACGAATAAGGTTGACTGTTGTGTTTGGAAATGAATCTTGATATTCCAATGTATATGATCTTAAATCTATCCCTGAATAAACATTGAAACTTAATTCTAATCATACATTATCAGTTTCAGTTTTTATATTTCAAAATCATCACCATCAAAGGCACACATTTTCGTTATAAAACTACACTATCGGAATATCTGTATTTACAAGAAGCAATAGCCTCGGTTTCACTTTGCGCACGTGCACTTCAGTTTTAACATGGCGGAGCGAGTTTTGCTTGGCGTTGCTGACAGTCTTCTTACAGAAGTTGAAGATGCGTCACTGACATGGTCTGTCAATAAATTGGGTGGTGTACCTGTGAGCCAGATAAAGTTCCTTCAGATATATTTTTACCGTTTAACTGTCAAAAAGACTCATTAAAATCACTGAACTGAACTACTGTTTAATTCGAACTCCAACTTGTAACTACACCAATAATGACGACATACACAACACAAAATCTTTACCCAACAGCATAAATAAAATATTTGATATTTTCCATGTTTCTGGCTTGTGTAAAATGTTGTGATAAATATTCTAGGAGAATAGACACCTTTTCTGGAAAGACCAACTAAAACTCTTGTCAAAAAGAATGTCTATTCTTTTATTGCCTTATTTATTACCACTATTATTGGACCTTCTCATTTAATTTACAGTGTCTATCAATTTTCATTTCAGAACTGGATGCAAGACTGTCTCCCTAGCCAATATCCAACCTGTAATATTTGTAACTCTTTGCTTTACCATGTTGTCCAAATTTACTGTCCTCTTGAGGGCTCAGAATATCACAGAACATTGAATGTGTTTGGTTGTCTTCAAAGAAAATGTTCTCCAAATCCTGGAAGGTATGCTTTTTGTAACTTTGCCTATCAATGATTAGAAAAGAATTGTGAAATATCAACAAATTTTTATAAATCCTCATTTTTGTAAATGTTTTATTATCAATTTCTTGATCTTCTGTCAATAAGATAGGTTGATTTTTAATTGTTTTCATACATTCCAAAAAGTTACATAACAAGTTACTGTAATACCTTAACTACACATTATGTAACATTACAAAAATGATATCCCTGGGAGCATCAACTCTGTCTACCCTGGGGCCATAACATAGAGGGAAAAAATGCATGTTTCTAATTACAAATAGTTAAAGATATAAGAGATGGTTGGTCTATGAGAAGTAAATTTTAATTGAATGGTTTTGTTTAAAATATACTTGATTGTGAGATGTAAAATTAGCTTGTTAGCTTCAAAGAAAAATTTTCATTTCCATATAAAAGGATTTTTAATATATTGTCATCTAGTGCCTCAGGTTTACCATAGGCTTTGAGTACATTTTTTACACCAGCAAGGAGACTTCTTCTAGGTTCATTAAAGGAATGGCAGAGCAGCAGAAAGGGATAACCTCCCTTTTTTCCCACACTTGAACCTATTAAGGCTCCTTCCAGCTTCAGGATTTTCACATCAGTTCACTTTAAATGTTGCAATGTTGAAATTATGTTTCTGTCATACAATTGTAGCTGGAAAGTATGGAGGAGTCAGTCCCTTGCAAACCAAGAATCAAACAATAAACAGAACACGCAGGTAAGCATGTTTTTTTTCACCAAAACTGTTCCATTGAATTTGTCACTAATGTTATTTATAACATTCAATAGCTTTTGTTTGTATTTATATGAAGCATTAGCAGGTAACAATTCTTTGAGGCTATGCTTCTTTTCTAATAAAGGTGTGAAATAATTGGAAGGAGGTTGTATTTGATTGTCCAAGGAAGGTGAAATTTGGTTTGTTGCTGTGGATGAAGGGAGCTATCAATTGTGTCACTTTTTGGCTGGGAATGTTCTGTATTTTTTTTGAAAATGTTCCTAGAGCCAAATATATTTGAGAAGCTCAATTTTTTTATTGTTCGGAGAATTTAAAGTTTCATTTTATAAAAATTCCCTTTCAGTTGTTTCAGTTGCATTTATAAAATGCTGTCACGTGTTTAGCAGATATGTAGTCTTCGTGTCAATGAAATCTTTGTCACTTATTAGACAGAGAAAAATTGCTGATAAGATGCTGTAACTTTTCTGATAGTTATTCAATGTTTGCACTAAGCAAACCAAGAAAGATTTTTAATTGGTATGACCAAACATTGATCTAATTGAAATGTTCCAAAGCTCTCAGACAACTTGCTTTCTTTACAAAGAACTGAATGCTGAAAATTATTCTTGATTTTCTATTTGGACACATTTCGTAGATTTCATCTACTTTTCTCATTTTAAGAATATTTTAATGACACTGTTCCGTGAGATTTTATATCTGTTAGTGATACATATAAAATAGCAGAATTCTCTTCTGAATGCAGGAAACTAAAAGTTATGTCAAGGAAAGTTGGTGCGACGACGCAGACGATTGGGGAAGGTAGGTTTTATTATGTTGGTATTGAGTGCCTGCAGAATTGGCCCTTTTGAAAGTATGAATTATTCAACAGTTCTCAACGTAGTTAAAATCAAATTTCGTTAATTTTTTGTGAAACAGTGGTCAATGTCTTCGGAAGGGATCATCGTATTATTGAGAACCAGGGTTTAATAGGGCTGGTCCAGTACAGGTGGATCCGTGAATTTGTGACAAAAATGGTGGGGGGAGGGGGCAATTGCAATACATACTATTTTGAATTTTAAGAGCTCTTTGGAATCCCCTTTGCTTTTTCTTTTCGAAGTGACGATAACAGTGATATGAATACAATTACCACTACCCTCGGGGAGGTTGGAATGGAAGAAAATCAGGCCAGGAGTCGACTGAGAGAAAACGAGGGAGAAAGGGAGGATGGGAACCAAGTAGAAAACGCGGAACAAGATGAACGAAATCTTTCCAAGAGTGTTCCGAAATTCGCTGCTATGTACATTCATGTCCTAGAGGAGCCGGATTCCTTTTCTGATAGCGCACTTGAATATGAGAAAAGTTTACTAAAAGCGTACGAAGAACAGGAGGGCGCTCTGTCCGACATGGAAACGACCACAAAATCAGGGGAAAAGTACGAGAAAAACCCCGTTGTTGGAGGAGATAAAACGCTCCATAAGTTTTTAAAGAGATTACGAAGATGCAGAGAGCAGTGTCTAAGGTATAATTGGAATGGGAGACCTGTTTTGCTTTCGGATAATGTCCTGCAGAACCAGAGCTTGGGAAGTGTCCCCCCGAATGTCCCCGCTTGTTTGCATTGCGGGTCAGAGCGCGTTTTTGAGTTGCAGCTAATGCCAGCGCTTTCCTCGATTTTGAAAAAATACGATATGGGTGTCAAGGGAAGAAGCACAGGTCAAGATGATGGTCAGGAAGGTGCCAGTCTACCAACGGAAGAGATGGACCAAGAAAGGCTTGATTTTGGTACTGTTTACATATATACGTGCAGCAATTCGTGTATAGAGACTGACGGAGACTACGCTGTACCAATTGAAGAATACATTGTTGCTTGTCCCTATCCAGATTCAGATTTACTCGATGCTAAATATTCTTGATTAATTTTCCTGCAATGCAGTGCTTAATAAATTTCTATAGATCGTATAATAAGGGGCCTAGGCTATTGAAATTGAAGTATTATGGGTAACGCCAGCTTCCACATTGATCCTTACGGCAGTTGACAAAAATTTGAAGTCTCTTTGAAACATCTGAAGCAAACAATTTGAAGACTCAATTTGCTTTCGATTCAGTACATTTTATTCCAAGTAGCAACACGTTGTTCCTGTTCCCTGTGTACTTGGCTCCTTCAATGTAGCCTTTTATGAGAAGATTAACCGCACCTCCTTGCCTATTTGATTTTCAATACGACAACATGTAACTTCAAAATATAATTCCAACATATCAGTTATTATTAGCGAAATCGTGACGGAACTTCGCACTTGAATAGTGGTACCAACCTGTAACGTGTAACTGACGTTTTCCAAAGCAGATTTGAGAGATACGCAGTAAAAATTGCAGCAATCTGTTCGTGTCAAAAATTTCGGGATTTCGTCCATCTTCAAGTTCTATGAAAAGCCTGTCTTCCAGATAAATTATCACAGATTTATAACACCTTTTTTGTTATCACCCCTTTGATTTTTTTGTATTTGATGCTGGTTTAGCTTTAAGATAGTAGAAAAACGCGTTTTGAACATAAAAGTGAAAATAACCTTAAACAGTAAGAAAATCCATCCAAAGAAAGTGTTATTGGTCTACTGTTTTCATTGTAGCATTTTCGTATGAAAAGGGATGTTTTTTCGTTTCTGACTGAAGAGGGGAAGAGAGTAATTGCAGAACATCCACAAGATAATGTCAGTACTTAAGTTGGAAACGCTAGAAAACAATGTGATATTTTATCTGAAAATTCATGAAACTCGTAGCTCAATGATGTGGTATTTTATTTCTATCATTTGTAGCTTTCAATCAGCGACATGTAATTTTAATTGTTCTTTTTAAAATAAATTATAATATTTATGAAACAGCCATAAAAACAATAACGTAATGCAAGTACCATTAATTAGAGGTTGATCGTAAATCGAATAGAATTTTGACCAAAATATTCTTAGATATATGTATAATTTTGAAAGATAGATAAAAATGCTGCAATTCCAAGGAACCTTTTTGGGTTTTCTAAAATTACACACAGCAACACATACAAAGGGTGAATGCTTTAATTGGACACACACCATTTCAATGTAAAGCCATGTCCAAACACGATTCACTAAGACTCCGCAAACAGGATATCTTATCCAAAAAATACAGTATCATACCGTATTGGTCTTCTGCATTCACGGAAACACTGATGAATCCCATCCAAAATGAAGGCCCTGCTCAGTACGGTATGAAGCAAAAGCAGTATCGTGTAGACTACAGAATTCGATACGATTTGGAATAGGGGGCAAAGCGGGGGCATTTTTGCATTCGTTGGATTACACGGAACAGTAACAACCCGCATATAAGTAGCTCATTTTTTCAGATCAGACCGTGCAGCTTCTTATAAAAGGCATTTATTTTGAAACAAAGGATAACGTGTTTCGTATATAAATCATTTTTCTATGAACTAAATAAATGCTGGACAAGCCTTGAAAGTAATGCCAATGCCAAAAAGTAACAAGTTTTGAAGGGCCAATTCAATAAGTTGAAAGCTAAATTGTTTCTAGAAAACTGCTTCTTGCAATCTATTTTATTCTACATTTTAAATAAGCACTTTTAAGAAGCTTGAAAAAATCAGGCTAAAAATAATGTTATATTTTGGTATATAACTTTTACAAAGTTAGCCTGCAGTTTCTTATATGTGAATTTGTTATTATAATGTGCAGGTTTTTACTATAGGTAAGCGTCTTCATTTCATACCATAAATATCAGCGTCTCCTTCCGCATCGAAGGTCATGAGATCGCACCGTATTTTCCTAAAACAGTTCGTGTAAACGCGGCCTAAACGTACTCTACGGGTTGCTTAGTATTTTCAGCTTGTCTTTCAAATAAAGAAGCTATGTTTGTGTATTCTTATGTCAACATAGCTAGCGTGTCCTTGTGTTTGCATTGTTTCTTATTATGTTTTCATTTCCAAGCAATGTCCTGAGCAAATACAGTATGAAAGACCTTCCAAGAAATAACGTGGGTAATGATTATGCGAAGGAAAAACATAATAGAGACTTCGGTTGTTCTATAATTTTTCATTTGTAGTTCAAAATAAAAAAAACAACTAGAAATTGCTACACAAAACTGCTGATTCTGCAGTTAAGGAGTCTTTTTATAAACATGACGTATGAAGTTGGTTTAAGGCATCAGAGCGCTTTTTGTCTCTGTCCGACTTTGTACCTTCAAAGCAGTTCCTAGGTACGGCCAGAAGACAGTCAAATCGGCTTTGTAAAACCTTCTGCTCTTAAATTGGCCCTGTGTCTGTTTCAATAAACAAGATCTTTTATGCCCGTTTAGTCAGACTGGTTATCCTAGGCCTGCAGCTCTCCGAGGTACAACTTCTTGTCGCTTCCACACGAAAGAACTACGAAAGAAAAATTTAATTAGTGTCAGTCTTCTTGTTTAAGTCAAAAATCAAATCACAGTGTCATATATCATTTGAATTTTTCTTCAAAAACACGGACAGATTTAAATGAAACGCCTTTCCACAGTCTAGTATCGTATTGATAGACCTGCACTGATAAATAATGCCAAATATAAACGAAAATTTTAAAATAGTACGGATAAGCAGAAACTTAAAATGCATCAACAGAGTTTTAACGGCGCTTAGTATCCAAAGGGTAACCCAAGGGGAACCCAAGATCTCTTCCAGGTGCAGGCCTAGTTTTTGACCAATCAGTGACCTCTTCCAGGTGCGGGCCTAGTTTTTGACCAATCAGTTTACACCGCTAACTCGTCTACACAGGTCAGAATTTTTTGTTTCGATGGTGACCCACTGTTATCCGAAGGTCTCAATACAAAACTGGACGAAACAGCTTTACACAGTATGCTTTACAAAAGGAGCTACCCTTGAGTTCTATTTTTGCACTGCGCCCCAATTCTGCTCGCAACAAACTGTTTTTAAGTTGTTTGAGAGAAGTAACTTGTCGTAATCCCGATTAAGGTAAAAACAGCAGCTTCGTAAAATTTTCAAAAAATAGTGAGTTGCTTCTGTCTGTCACAGCTCCAAAACTAACTTCTTTATAAAAGTGCAGTTTTTCCAAACACGACTGCTGGTCACATTCATGTTTAATTTAGACTTTTTTAAAAAATCAAATAAAATTTGGACACCAAGAAGGTCATTTGACCTGAAACATTCATTTATTTTGAAATAGAGACGAATTTTAATAGGGAAAATTGGCTATTTAGTGCAAGTTTTCATCTGTGGATAAGCGTCTGCAAGTGACCTGTTGATTTTCTGATGATAACTATTCTAGGCTTGTCTAGTGAAGAGAGTTTTCTCTACAGGTCAGGTCCGTCGAAAGCTTTATGGGGCCTGGGACAGAAAGAAAGATGGGACTCGTGATGACATCATTAAAATTTGGATTGTTGTTGTTTCTTGTATTGTGAGCAATTTTATCATAACTTTTTCGGGACGCCTCTAAGCTCGGGGCCTAGGGCGATCTACCCTAGCCCACCTCTCGACGGGCCTGCTTCAGGATAGCAGATTATCTTCATTCTTCGACGTAGATAGGTCCCTTTCGGTATTCCTGATGATTCGTATTTTGTTTCAAAAGAACTCGTTGTTAAATGAAGGTAAGAATAACTACGTTAAAGAACCAAGTGAATGTCCACGTCGGCAAGAGAGGCAGAAACATAACAACACTCTTTTAAAAAGTCTGAGGAAGCGTTTGAGGAAGAACGTCGCGGTTGAGGGAGAATGTCGCGGTTGAGGGAGAATGTCACGTTTGAGGGAAAATGTCGCGTTTGATGAAGAAAGGCACATTTTATTGGTTTATCGTTTCAACCAATCGTCGACCATTCTATGCAAATAACCAAGATATGAAAAAGTAATGAAAATATCTGTCCTGGTGTTCACTTTGCGGCATCCTGGTATTTGCAAAAGAGTGATCGCCAATCCGAGGCAGATCGTTTTGGGGGTAATGAAGGTCATGTTACAAGAAAAGTTCAGGCTTACAAGACAGAAGGTCACAAAAATGGCTTACTTAAAAATGAAGAGACACTTACGAATGGGCTCTAATGGGTGAAAATCGACATCGTTCACTGAGCCATCATGACCGGGCAATTTGTAAAGTATTCTTCTTGTAACTGTGTCCCACACGTAAACAAATCTATGAAAAAATGACGCCGTGATTTAGCAGCGAGCTTGAGCAGAGACTGATAAACAGCAACTTAGAAATGTTAGTGTAATTAAAATGAAAGTCTATTGGCTTATGAATATTACAGTTTACAGGTATTTATTAAGTGCTCGATGCCGTATATGCGAAGCTGTATACGCTTTGGCATGTACAACAGGGCGGTTCTAGACTGCAACTACAAATTTCAAGATTTTCCCGATCATTAAGCAATGTCTGGCTAGTTTGTTATTAAAGATCCAGAAACCAGGAACCACAGCAATAACAGTGACGTCTTAAATGTCACTGCGTTGAAGGATTACCTGTCTGCAGACCCAGCAGCAATGAACCGCCCGTCTGGTGACCAACAACATTTCAGCAAATTCTGTGAGAGAAAAAGAAAATGTACTTTGAGCAAATAAACGAAAAGTTCATATCATGCTTTTCAGAAACGAAAATAATTATCGACAAAATATTTTGCCCAAAGGTGCAATTAATGGATTTTGATAATCCAATATTCACGTGTTTTATTATAATATGTTCTTATCGCTCACGAGCGTTATTCTCAAGTCCCTCCATTATCACAATCATCTATCATACCTATAACTTTACATACAAGATATGTTAAAGTTACTGTGTAAACAATGTTATTAATATCTAAGTTTTCGCCAGCTGGTCATAGAAAGCTTGGGAAACATATATTAGTGACGTCACACGGACTTAGAGGTGTTAAATATGGCCGATGATTAGTAGCAGTCACAAACCAAAAAGTTTGTTTGAACCAACCAATTACAAGGAAACCAATCGAAACCTCCATTGACAGGTTTCTAATCCTTTCATTTTGGAGATATGCAACAAATGCTACCAGTGATAAAGCTTATGTTTGACTCTACAGAGCTGCAGCAAGTTGTTTGTTGGTGGTATTTCATATAAATAAGATGAGAGGTTCTAAGAGGTCAAATGATGATCGTCTCTCAGGCAGTGGAACATCTATGTCCCTCGGCCTATTTACTCGATTTACACAATTGGAGAACGAGTAACAGACGAAGATGAGAAGCAGAGGAGTGGTCGGGTCACACCCTGACAGGAACCACAACATAATTAATACCATAAAGATTCACTGAACGCACTGCTCACCCAGAATTGCATTCCAGATTATTTATTTATTGAAATTAACTAAATTAAATGTGCGAGTCAATCTATTTCAAAATCAATAGGATGGAAAATCTTTCAAACATACTTATTTGAAACAACAATAAAAACACCATGATGGCAACCTGACTCGAAAAATTATGTCTAGTCAATTTTTTTCAACACAAGGTCGTGCTGCCTTAATCATATTATATAATTGGTTGAATCCAAAACAAAAGTTACTTTGCCCGTGATTCAATGCAGATGCATTTATACTCTAAATAGGATTAATAGATAAGTTCGGTTTTATTGTAAAATGTCTTGTCCTGCACTGTGTTTGACTCAAATATGGACGTTGCTTACATAAAGCTTTGTTGTGAAGTATTTCGACTGTATCATCTGTCAACAAGAGACAGGTGAAAACGCAGATAACACTGATATTAGCAAATCTGAAAGCTTCAACTCTCAAAAAAGCAGAAATAAACCTTATTAAACAGCTGCACAGGACAAATTTCTGGATAAGCTTTTTATTTGCTTGTTTCAGATAAGATTTTCTAGGCCGATTTAATCTTCGTTTGTACCAAGTGACTCCCAGTTATGATAAATCCTTTTTCGACTAATATATGCATGGCCTTTTTTTGTGGGAGAATGCCAATCAAAATTTTACAGTTTTATGTTCCAAAGGTAAGGAGATCATTACAGCGAGGGCCTGAAAGCAACTTAATTTTTGCCAAAAAATGTATGGCTAAGAAATTTGCTTAAGGATAAGAAGAAAAGAGAAAAAAAATGAAAAGGATGGGAACAAAAAAGAGTTTATGGAAAATATGACTTAATGGAATCACAAGGCAACAGAGAAATACATAGGAGAATCAAAAGAAAGCAGACAAAAGTGAAGGAGGAAATATAGAGGAAAATGGAAAACATTGGACAAGTTTTGAAAGGTTGACTAAGAAAAACATTTGACTAAGAAAAGAATTATAAGGGCGGCTTTGATAGAAAGCGTATTTTGAAATAAAAAGGTGCTAGAAATAAAAACAAAAGTTAACTAATACTCAAATTTCTCTTCGCAAAAGTGGTCGTAAGGGAATACCTCTATAGCACAAGCTATTCGATTCTTGCACAAATGCCAAAATTACATGATAATGTCTGAATGCTATTATAAAAGACAATAACGACAGTGCCTACTTTATTGCTTCTATGGCATTTGATTAACGGTTTAAAATTCAATAAAAACTCACTTTTTCAAAATTGTGCTGTACCCCGGTGAATACTTTTACGCATCTCTCTGTCGGAGCATACGGCCTAATGTCCCAGATTCGCACTAGACAGAAAAAGGGGCTATTATGTTTAAAGCGAAACAGGAAAGATTTCATAACAATGGTACAGGCGGATCGGCAAAGAGGAAACCCGATCATATACTAGCCTGGCTGGTTTATTATCCTGATCATTTCTTTGATAAAATGTAGTTATGTCAAAATGTCCTGTCACTACTTTCTAGTCCCTGTAATGGTCAAAAAGGTCACCTTGACACATTTCAGTGGTATAGAGATGGTTATTAAATGTTAACAACAGTTTTCATTTCGAAATATTTTCTATCGTCAGGTGAGTCTGAAGTCACAAAGATCCAGTTTATTTATGGATATATACTCTATTCCTCTGACATTTTGTCTACATTTTTTGATAATCAGCCCATCAATAAATTCGTTTTACATTCATTTCTTTGGAGCAAACGATCCAGGCTGCTGTAATATGAATTTTCCGATGGATCACCCTTAGCCCTTGATTTCACAACAATGGAATAAAGTACCAAACGACTTATTACTGTTGCTGATTCAATAATTTTCAGGTCGAATTTCTAGACATATCAAACTCTTTTGGACATGAGCAAGCTTAAGTAATGACGGCTGCCAAGGCTACGAAATTCCATTTACTTTTATTTACTCTACCAGAATGGGATCAAGCAATTTTTTAACTAGAATGAAATGATGGCATAGTAACAGCGTTTGACCAGTCGGCTTTTTCTAAAAAGTGCGTTTTAACGGCGAGTTTATTCGGCAACAAAACGGCGCTATTTGAATACATCTTAGCAGCTGCTCCAACAATCGCGATTGCAACAGCACAAGGGAGAACTATTTTTGGTTTAGGAACCTTCATAAAACTAGAGTTCATTTCAGCTATTAACCCTTTTGCGAGGCGTATTTTGCTTTGAAAATACAGCATACAGTAGACTCTGGTTATAGTCACATCGAATGTTGCTTCAAAAGCTCTGACAGTAAGCAAAGTGTGACTGTAAGCGGAGTTTCAGTTAAATATTTTCCGTATTTGGGCCTAAATTTTATGTGACTGTAAACGGTATTGTCACTTTAAGCGGAGGGACATAAAAGGAGTCGACTGTTTACAGAATAACCGGCGAAATATAGAATACCTGTATTGTCCATTGCATTTGAAAGTAAAAAGGATCCGTCCGGACTGAGCCTGAAACCGGTAACCGTGTCGGTATGTCCACGCATTTTGTAAAGAACGTCATTTTTACGAAGATCCCAAACCTAGAAAGGAACGAAGAAATTTAGTTAAGATGAATCTCTATGGCGGTCACTGTGTATATAGCAAAAATACACCAAGTTAGAAAACTGTGTATATTGCATAAATGGCGGACACTGGGTGAATCATTTGGCGCAATGTTACTTTTCAGGGCATTACTTCCATTATTTGGAAACAAAATGGCTTTTCTTTTTTAGTTTATTGTTAATCGAAAAGCAAAGTAAAGTGCTGAGCACAGTGAGAGACATGTCTAGATGTATCTTGTTGCGGTTCCAAACGCCATAACAGCAATTTGCAATCACAGTTTGAGGCCAATAATATTTCGCAGAGAAAGATTATTAGAGAGGTGTGACTGATTCAATTCAATTTCATTCGTAAACTGAAGTTGCAGAATGATATTACCATAAAAATACTGTAATATACACGGCCCAATAAAAGTATCCGTACTTAACTAGTTTGGGCATATCGCACAAAAAGGCAATAAGATATATTGAAACAGGTTAGCCGGCGTATTTAATATCATGTGTAAATAGCATCTAAGCGAAAATATGGAATCTTATTAAATTGTTTGACTCAAGTTTCAAATGAAGTTTGATAGCAGCACACAGAGTGTATAAAAAAGTGTGCAATTACAAGCTCCATTTTCCAGTTTTTAGTGTCTGTTTATAAGGGGGCGGGCAATACCGAGCTGTGTACAAATACAGCAAAAGCATTTTGTAAAAGCTTGCTTGTCAACAGTTGAAGGAACGCAATGTCTTTTGGGGTAAAGGTTTTTGGCGTGGTGTAACAAACCACTCAAGGAAGGCTGGCAAACTGGCCCATTAAGCATCAATAAATGAACAAATTTCTACATTTGAACATTTGAAAAGTGCTAGCTAGCCGCTGGTTTTTAAAAGTCAAAGCTACATTTGGAATCACAGATCGATTATAATCAGGGAAAGTCAGGATACGAATACACAAGTGCTTTGGGGAATTCTGTCATCGTTATCATTATTGTCATTATTGTGTCATCGTTAACCGTTTCAGAGGAAAACCCATCATGAGGCAATGGTCTTTAAATTTAAATAGATCCTCTTAATGAGAGTAGTTATCTCTCCAGTACGGTTTTGTCAATGCAAACCCTTCTCTTATTGTATCGTACTGTACTTGAGCAACATGGCTCAAACTTAATTACACACAGATCCCATCAATTCTCCAGTCTACAAGACAGTCTACATGCTACCGTAGATTTATACTCTCTTCTTCTCTTGGAATTATGAAAACAGAGGGAGACAGAAACAGATCAATATTTCCTTTAACACACCTTGATTATATTGTCGATTCCACCGGAGAACACCTGGTCACTTGTATCGTTAAAACAGACTGACGTCACCTTAACGAAAAATGAACAGATTCAAAGGCAGAACACACGAGGTGAAAGCAAACAAGGATGGAAGAAAATTGTAACAAGTAGAACATCTTCAGATTTTTGATTAAATGAATATATAACGATTTTTGAAAAAACTCTCACGACGTTTTACTCGATAGTACGCAACTGTGAATAAAAAACCAGTCTACAGATATGTGAATGTTTCTTAGAAAACAAGTTTAACAGCGAACCAAAAAGTAGGAGTGAAGGAGCTCAGAGAAGATACAACATCACGAGGTAAACTCTATGGTCAAAGCATCAATTGTAACGTACCTGATATGTGTTTTGAAAAGTTTGTAGAGCTCCTTTCTTCCTCCGGTCCCACAACTAGATAAGAAAAGAGCAATGAGATAAGGATGGAAACACAACTCCGTGAAAGTAATAATAAATGCATCTTTTAAAACTAAAATGAAGCCTTGAGTCGATTGACAATCATGACTCAGACACCAGGTTTAGTCATACCAATTGGATGCACAGAGCTTGCAACAGATTGTTTCAATGGTATCATCAATACAAAAAGACATAATAAAAATGGAGAAAAATCACTGGTTTTTAATGTAGACACTGTACATTTTATCGTAATCAGCTGTGCTGTCAACGAATTCATGAGCGCTTTCACGAGAACTGTTATTTGGGCTGCAGGTTATTGCTTCGAGTTACCCTTAATCAGCAGATATCAGGTAGGACCGGGATATGAACAACACGAGTTCAGAAGATTCACAGGTTTGCGCTATCGATGGGTTTGCTTGTTCCATTCTCTTTGGTGTTCACGAAAGCTTGAAAATCTATTCGACTAAGCCCCAACCATTGTTGAAACTTTCCCCCTAGCTTTGTGTCGGTTGTCCTTATTTTTATCGGTGGGGAAAAGTTGACTATTGGACGAAAGAGAGATTTGGAATTATTCTAATTTTCTTAAATCGTTTATAAATATTTATTGTTGGTTTACATTTTGGAATTTTGTCATTTTAAAGGATCTTTGGTGTGTGATCCTCCATATTTACGGACAGTTTATCGAGACATCCGGGGTCTCTGGAAAGAGCATAAAGTAAATTTGTCAAAATTTTCAAATGGTTCATCCACTTTTGACATCTACAACGTCCATAAAAAGTCCTTGAAACATCCTTAGGCTGTTTCTTCTCTTTCCAACTTCCGCTCTCACTTTTCCGAAAACAACATTGGTAGTTTTAACTAGGCACAAATGACATGGAAAGATATGTTTTATAGTAACAAGATGAGTTACTTTGTAGCAAATGTTTGGCAGTGATTGTAAATATTCCCCATGAAGATATATGGCAATAATTTCTGATGGTCAAGGTCTCCTAGAATTATCTGCCAAGATAGAATTAGTTTACTGGCAGAAAAGCACATGGAAGTTTATGCGCCTGGCCAGTGAAGAAAAATTAGAGTTGAAATGCAAATAAACCTGAATCATGAGACGAAAAATGCTTTTCAAAAACAAACAACATATAAGTCATGCTGCAAAGAATAGCTGTTAATGAAATTATTTGCAGTTGCAATGAATCATTGAGCAGATGGGAAAAAGAGCAGGTGATGTTCAACGAAAGATGTGGGAAAAGCAAGACTTGGCAATATTTTTTACATATGATGTCAATTCATGCGCATGTGTGAACCCAGAGCGTTTAGTTAGTAAATTAAAATAATCATCGAGTTCCCAAGGTTTGTGGATCTTTAAATGGGAAAATAATAGAAGTTTGTGTGTGAAGTAATTCTAATGTGATTGTAAAGTTTGTATAGGTGTTGAGGTGTAGCAAATATCGGACCAAAGGGAAGGGAGGGAAGTTGAAAAAGAGGGGGATCAGGCGTTGATTGCAGAGAGTGTGACCATTTTTGTAGTAATCGTTGAACGACTTTGGGTGGAAAATTTTACCGGTGTTGGTCACTTACTACTCGGTTCAATGTGATGACTTCCAGACACAGAAATAGGCGTTTGTTTAACACGCGGGTGATAATCAAGGTACTTAAGCTGACGGAACCCTCTACAGTCTACAGGTTGATGCATTAACAGGCTGTCTTTCCTAGCTTTTCATTTTGTTTCTATGACATGATCACAAAAGGCACCATGAACGTTGGAACTTCCTGTACATAGTGCGAAGGTCGATGAGGCTGATGAGGAGGGGGGATTGTATCTCAGAGACGCATTTATAATCATTCTTTCTCATGACAAAAATTTTGTCTTCGGAAACCAATAAGTAACACTAGCAGAAGCTCTCTGAAGTACGTTAGTTTACAACTGAAGCTAAAACCTATCCATGTATAAATCTTGCTGATCACAGTTTCCTGCAGTGATGCTTAAAAAATTCCTGCAAGCGGTGTTTGCGTGCTGGCTTGTATTTCCACCACTGGCAATAAGTTTGTAATATGCTGGTACACACCTAGCTGCATGTAGATGTTAGTAAACATGTTCCGGTATGGAGATGCGACTCGAACATTATCAACAAAATAAAAGATTTAGCAACTGATACTGCGGCCAACAAAAATGTAAGCCACAAGCAAATAAGCCTAAGAATGATGAAAAGAAATGTAAATAAAAGATTACCATTTATACGTTTTATTACAACAAAGATTTGTTTATAGATAAAGGAAGATGAAAATGCTTTACCCGTCGTGTAACTCATTGTGGAAAAGCAAATTTTCATTATCTTTAATGGTTTGCTTATGATGAGAATATCGAGCATGCTCACTTTTGTGTTATTTAGGCGACACTGATATGTCACCATGGGTCATCGAATCGCCATGTGCTCCCTTGGTCGACAGTTATGGCGTTCTTATTTGGTTTCAATTGGCAGACACTGTTTCTATGATCGTTTACTAAAAAGTGTTAAATCTTATTTTTGTGTAACAACACCTCAGAAACAGAAACTTTTTGCAACGGAGCAAGATAACAAACCTTCGATGGTTAATGCTATCCTTTATATGGAGGGTTTATATTTAAACAATGGCGAGCAACTCATTGCTACAGGTTGTCAGCACAACGAGCGAGCTGAAGAAAATTGCTGACTGTAATAGGCCCAAGTGTACTTGCCTTAACAGTGCCATCATCTGAGCCACTCACTATCAACTCAGGCCCCCGTCTTGCCGGACAGCAACTGTTTACAAAGGCAGAATGGCCCTTAAGCCTTTTTATTCTCATTCCAGTCTCGTAATCCCAACATGCTATAGTTTTATCGGTAGAACAGGAAACTAGTGTGCTGAAAGAGAGAAAAATGAATGTCAACTCTACGTCGAATTATGGCCTAAAGATTTCCATAAACATTGCTAGCCCCTTCAACACGACATTCATCTGTTTACAGAAACTGGACAAGCCTTTTCTGATCATAAGAGTTGAAAGCAGAGATTTGCCTAGCAATGCATATTTCAAAGAAGAAACATTGAAGCATGTTTCACATTAAAAAGATGTCCACATGACACGATGCGAAGTCAGAGATAACATTGGCAAAACTTTATACAATATAGGTTACATCTTTCTTACCATGAGCTGCAAAGTATTGAATAACCCTGTAACACAGCGTATCTATTATGCAAATAATTTACTTGTAGAGGGTCTTTTTACTTAAACTGTCCCCATGAAGGAAATTTTCATGTTATTTGATTTAACTAAGCTCGGCTTTATCCACAAAATGCAATTGCCTACCCTCCGTCGTTGAAATAATGCAGCTCCATTATAGCACCTGTGTGTCCTTTTAACACAGCGAAATTCTCGCATTCTCCATATACGTTCCATAGATCTAGGAAAAAAGAATAGATAGCAAAATTCTTTTATCTTTCTCTAAACGATAGCTAATCATTGCGAAGGAAAATCAAACTGAGCTGGTTCACTTGGTTCTTTTGTTCTCGTGGAACAATCGTTTCGTGACAGATATCACTTGACACAATTTGTCTTTAAGTTTTTGCAGTCATTTAAAGGGACAAAAAAGCAAAGATACAGCCACATAATAATATAATGTCAGCATCATGCAGAGACCAATCACCGCTTAATGGCTTCAAAAAAGTATTACTTGATGTGACATTAGCTGGGAATTAGCAGGGTTAAGGAAGCAACGTATAGGGGCACATTAATGAAAAAAAACATAACAAGTTGGAAAATGACAACATTTTCCAAATAAACATAAGCTAGAGGTGATTTCAGTGTGATAATTGAGTTTTCAATGACGCAATGTAACAGAGGTGAACTGTACAGGACAAAGGAAGCGACAAAAATATTTTCATTACAGTAACTTTCAAAACTGTATTGAAAGTATAGAAATAAACTTCAAATTCTTTTTTTCGAGTTGTATTTCGCTCTCGCATTAAGGTAAGTGTGAATAAAAACCAAACGTAAATATTATCCTTCTTTTCTGTTTGGAAGTATCTAACAAGCAGGTTACGTCCGATAACTGAAAATGGACATGGAAACATGTGATCCATTTTTAAGGCTCGCTTTGTGCTGGAACATTTTTTATGTTAAAGTAAATCAAAGTGGAGAGAATCGCAGAATTGTGATACCACGAGTATTGACTGATATCACCTGGTCTTTTTAATAATGAAGACCGTCAGTTATTTATTGAGGATATTTCTTATCGCTCAGAGTATCGCAGTTAATCAAAAGATCTACAGAAAGCACTCTTTTCTTGATATAACGGGAAGACTTTTAGAGAATATTCATCGGTTACGAGATGTTGAAATGAAGCACGTTTTAAAAAACACATAAGAAAACACGATTTTTGAAGATTCGTTATCAGTGTCATGCTTTTAGCGCTGGGATTTCGATAAACCATCTAATTATAACGCTGGTCGTGCAATTTCAAAGACGAGAGTATTTGTATAAGATTTACACCGGTAGTAATATCGCCTCTTGACTTGAGTCAATTTGAGAATATTCGCCACAAACTCGGCAAACAACGATCTGGTGTTTGACAATAAAACTAGCAATGCAAGCAATTATTCTTTCTATCACCGCAACCCGCTTTTTGCAGTCGCCATAATCAAACAAACTTCTATTCAAAAAAAGTTCTGCTCAGGCAACAAACGTGCGTGTATCGACTCATTTTGATTTCGTTGTTTTACGAGAGGAAAAAGTTACTAGCGAGTTCAAATCATTGTTTTTATTAGTTTCTTTATAATTCTGGTTTTTATAAGTAGCCAGACCAGGATTACATCTGATGCATACAGCCCCGACAATTTGTATCGATAGTTCAGCGCGGCAGTTCTTACAACGTTGATCATCAGGGTGCCTTCTAGCATTATTTCGACCAATAACTTTGTATTTGTACATGTATTTGTTTCTACCTAGCATCCGAAGGTAGTTTTTAGGACACTGAGAAGCTATGCTTATCGAGCAGTGTCCTGGTCCTTCCTCTCGACGTGACCGCACCGCATGATTCCTATGCCTGGAATTACAGAAAGGCGACTCTCTCACTCTGGGTGAAAGTTTGGTCATGCAAGGGACTCGAACCACCGACCCTTGGGTCTGTAGTCAGCGCCTCTAACAACTGAGCCATCCTCGCATTTTAATGTATGGCGCAAATGAAAAATTCAGAGTTACTCACAAATCAGCCTGTCAAACCCGCCAGATGCAACCGTGTCTCCTGATGGATGGAATTTTGCGGAAAATACCTCTCCCTGCCAATTTAAACAGAGAATTTTAAAATTTCAAACATAATAAATTAGAAAATCAGTTATGTTCCCTTTTTGCGCGAAATTTAGATATCTGCAGTACGAAAATAGTATTTGGCCTATTAAAAATTGTCTAAAAAATATCGTATTTTGATTTGCAACTAACAGAAGTTAAAATATACTCTTTCGATTTTTTAAGATTCTCATATCAAGACAGAGTTTCCACGAACTCATTAATAAATTAAAAATGACGATTGCAGATATATTCTGAATTCCGATAAGAACATGATTACAGCTTCAGTTATTAAGAAAAATAGGGTATTTTAGTAAAATGAAGACTTTTCAGATGTATTTTTTTAATGAGAAAGTAGGACTAACAGGGCTGCAATGAGCCTAGACCAACACTTTGTGTGTTGATAAAATTGTCCAAGAGGTGAAAATAGACCCATGATGATAGGGCACTATAGGATGACTAGCACAGCTATGCACATTAACAGTTCCAGTGGAAAGGTTAAAAAATCCTAATGGAAGGCAAATCAAGGCCAAGCGATGGAAAGTCTCTGGAGTACGTCAGTCATAGTTAAGTGTATCTGGAATTCGGTGCAGTCAACTGCCAGTAAAATTAAAGCCACTTTTCATTGACGATTTTTGGTAGCAGTGACCAATTAGCTGTAAAGAAGTTACTTACGCCGTGTCCAGTCAGGAGCATGATTGGTGACTCCAAAGCAGACGATCTTTGTGGACCCTGTGAAAACAAATATAGAACTTGTGAGGTCATCAAAGTGCAAAATGAAACTATGTTTTCTGAAAGGATTAAGTGTGGCGCTCGATCAGAAATCAGAGCTCTATCGTTAAACATGTGAAAAAATATGAAATGTATTTATGTTAGCTCTAGAGCGCAAATGATAGCAAAATTCTGAAATCATCTACGTAAAAAAGAAACTTGGTATGCAGCAATCGTATTTTGGACAGCGCTAGAAATATTACTATTTCTCCCTTTGTTGGTAAGATATTGTTGATAAACCAAAAAATAAAGGACTGAGGTGCAGGAGAAGTCCCTATTAAGGAGGACACTTGTTCTGGCTAACGCCAAGATGAAGAGAGATTGATCTGCTCATTAGCTTCTGGCCTCTCAGTGTTTGCGTTGGCAGGACACGAGGCGATCGTCCGAACAAGGGTCGTGCCTCAATTTGAATCAGCAACCTGCAGTATTGAAGTCAGGTTTTCTAACCAGTTGGACAATTCAGAAAAGTATGATAAAACATTAGTACGTTAAAAATGCAAGGCTTTCCTCGATATAGGAAAGTTAATGATGCGAATACTGATGATATTTGACAGTGTCGGGAGCGAGAAAAGGCCATGCTCTAGCTAGATATTCAAACGGAACTTCTTCAAATGGAGTTAATTGACAGTGATTTCAGTTTTAAACCATCAAATCTTTTCCAAAACCCATTAAATGTTGATAAAAGGAAACCAGATTCAAATCCTGACTAAGATTTGACTAAGTAAGTATAGGGGAAACGATTGCAAACAATTCACCGAAAAGGAAAAGCTTTTTGGAAACAACCGTGCGATGTCCCGTTTTCAGCGGAAACCTTGATGCGAAGAATAAAAATATACCACACAAAGAAGGAAATCAGAAGGTCAGTCACTAAGGGATGTTAATTAAGAAAGATATTAGGAAGGATGTTAATTCAGGCGACCAATACACGTCGAATTTAAAAACTAATGCCTTGTCTGCTGCTGTGGCGATCGTGTCTAAGAAAATTCATTCTACCATCATTTCGAAAAGATGGTTAGAAACGATGGTAAGGGTTTTGGCGTATCCGTTTCAAACGTTAGATGTTAGAAGAGAATCATATAAGAAAATATCATTTATTTAATTTCTTAAAATTATCGTATTAGCTATTTTACAATAATTTTGATTAACTCAATCGACGAGAAGGTTTTATAAGGGAACTGAGGCTGTACAAAGCCTTTGAACATTATTGGATAGATTCAGCTGTAAGGTTGGGAGTGGTTGCAACCCCAAAAATATTTAATTTTTAATATTGAAGAAATATAAAATCTACTTTATGCCAGGTTTTTTCTACAAAAAAGTCTTCGAAGACCAAAGGGGGGGGGGGGTTCAGAATTGCAACATGGTTGAATTACAAAATTCTGAACTTATATCCTTAGCATTATAATTATCAGGTAATGTTGATTTAGATGTTGATCACAAAAATGTATCCATGGGAACATTGAAGCAGAAACAGGTAGTGTAGACGAGTCTACATAAATGCAGTAGAGAGCAGGCGCACTGTTTGACCAATATTATTAAAGCCGGTATGAAAAATTATGTGATATAGACAAATATCGTTATTTGCACGCCGGGTGCGCCCATTCAAACGGAATATTAAAAGAATATTGGCTGGGAGAATTATTGTACTTTAAGAGATCCGAATATGTGCCTCGCAGCATCCATTTTATAGGTCACATAACAAATGATCCCAAACACATTAGCAAAAGCAAACGAAGGACTTGTCCATGAATCCAAGTTTGATATTTTGATGATTGAAATCAAAACATAAATCTTATAAATCTTAAGATAAGTTTTTTGTATCTTTTCTTCTTTGAGAAAGACCATACGTTACTTAAATTTGTCAAAAGGATGCGCAACAAATAAGTGCAGAAAATATTAGAAATCCTTATCGTTTCTCTATTATAGTGTGAGCAGGTTGGAGCATTGTTTTTTCCAGCGAAAATGTTTGCCTCGAGAAAGGACGACAACAATTTCGATAAATCTTTACAGTTTATCATTTTCTATTTCGCAATATCGCTGTTCTTGGTCAACCTCTTATCTTGTTTTCAACAACATTTATAAATATACTGAGACAAAATCGCCAGCAACTTAAATATCCAACAGCTTCTAGAAGACATAAAATCGTTCGTTCTTACAATTGGTCCACCACAAAGTAGTTCTTCAAGGTCGCCTATATAAACTCGAATTTGCAGCTAAGAAGAAAACCACAGGAAAGAGCATGCTTTTTAACAATGTCTGAGAATCAGTTTATTTTATATCCTTTAAATAAAAACGAATAAAAAACCAAAAAACTGGAAAGAACCAGCAGAAAACAACATATTTAGAGACTTTCCTGTACAAAAAGGTGCTGCGTTTAGAAACTTTTCTGCAGCATTTAGTCTTCACTGGTTTTTAAATGAAATAAAAGGTTTTGTCATGAAAATCTATCAGGGTTCCTTCCTGCTGGGGCGTCTTGGCTTTGGTTCAGTGAAGGAGGCTGATCTTCATTCAATGATAACGAAAGTGTGTGTCCCATTCGAGCAGGACTGCAAAAAGTTCTTTTTGACGTAAAAAGGGTACATTCGTTGCTTTGTTTTCTGATTGGGTGTGAAAATACATCGTAAAAAAGAAAAAAACCAGAGACGCAGAGAACAGGAGCTGGTCAAAATGCATAACCTTGAGTAAGGAGGGAAAAATGAAAAGAGATGAAACTTTGCTATGACCGTCTTCCTTTCTGTCACCCAGTTCTCTGTCCCCCTCTCTCTTGTAGAAATTCAAGGGACCAACACCCCACCTAGTACTACTTGAAGTTTAAAAGGTTGATGATTGCGACAAGGACGATGAAAAACCAATGAAATTAAGCATAACATGAGAAACACGTCAGCCGACTATGAACAAATTTGCTAAATTCAATTTTTATATTCATTGAGGCATCGTTGACTATGATAGCACCAATATACATAGCCATTTAATCTAGATTATTTATAAATTGAATATTACACATAGGTCTTTTGACATTATTCAATCATATTTTCACCATTTCTCTAACAGGAAAATAGCTTAGGTAAATTTTTTCTTCACAACAGCTTGTCGATGGGAACAATCATTGTGATTCATATAAGCCAGTCAATGAAAGCACCAAAAAGAAATCGTAAGTATTTTTTCGTAGTGTTCCCTTTAGTATTTCCTTCGTTTCTCTATATCTTAAATAAAAAATTACTCATTTGCTAGTTTGCCTTGCCAAGTAATTAGAAGTTGCGTATACCATTGGCGTGATCTTTCCACCAAACAGCAGAGCATCTAAATGACTATCATGTTGTCCGTCTATGATTTTCCACTCGATTTCTAATTGGGGGTAATCAACGTGTAGTAGGATTTAGGAAAATATTCTCTTGTGAGAATTTAGCATGCAGTGACAGTCTTGTGGAAGAAGTGGTACTCGCGAGGACGTTTTGTCGATAATGGGTGTGATTGGGTGTGATTGTCAAAAAAATGATCGTGGTGATTAGACGATTACTTATTCTCATCGAAGTTAGTGCGATGTATCCTTGCGTTAAACAGTTAGCTTTTTGCGGAAATTTATACGACCTTACATTAGCTTACGTTCTGGATTGATCTTGAAATATGGCTCGCTAAACTTTAAGGCATCTGGCATCTTAAAATTTGAATGCGGGTTCCTTTTTGGACATAAGACTCGGGGAGAGGAGGCTTTCAGGGTCCTGTTTCAGCGTAAGACCAGGGTCACGTTTCAAACAAACCGTTTTATGTTAACTTCGACTTAAAATATTTAGTACAGGAAGCTTGTGCTATGAAATGCCAGCAAATCGCTTCAGTTTCCTTAAACAAATGAACTTTATATATGGAATTATAAAATCATTTTCTAAACAACTTAAAAGGCAAACTTCCCGCCAGGGATCAACACAAAGTGTAGTAAATGCAACCTCCAGATACCCGTCATACACTTTCCTAACAAGCCCCCTTTAGCATAAATTCAGTTTCTTTCATGTTAAACTAAAGAAACCGACAAGTAAAATAGTTGATTGGTGAAGTTGGACAAACCCATTCTCAACTCTCGAGGCTAGTTTACGAAACAAAATTGTATATTATATCTTCAGTCTGTTTAAGCAACTATTTAAATGGATCCATGACCCTCAGTGATCACAGTGAAAACATAATCAGGGGTATGTAGCTGCCATAGGGCTAATACTTCTTGTTAATGCCGGAAAATAACCCTTTTCCGCTTCTCCCTATAGGTTTCTTAAAACTTTTTGAGTAGAGCACCCTGGTTCTTGCATAGCACTATGTTCTATGTCTGTAGCTGTACCCCACTCCCTATATCTTTATCTGGTGTCAAGATTAGTGCCGAACAATTGAAAACAAAACACCAGTGCATTGCCTATCTTTTATTGCAGATATGTATGAAATCAAATCGGTTATTCAAATACGGCATAGAGTACTTGTCAAGCAGGTATCTTATGAAAAGACAATAGGACTTGTAAAATAGACTTGAGGCATACTGACCCGCACATATAGAATAAACAAGTTTTTCCCGGCCGATCTCCGTTTGAAATCTATTTTCGTGCAGTGTACAAGTGAAATAACTACATCATATAGCGTTTTGATTTGAAACTCCTTTCCCAGAATATTACGCGATCACATGTTAAGAAATCACTCAAGAAATGCTCAAGTTTAAGACCAGTTTACTCACGCTTGCGTTGACTTTTGTAATGCGGCCACAGGTTATGCCCATCGTCAAGTATTCCTTCTTCTCCGAATTTCTCGGAACATTATGACGCTGTTAGTTGGAAACCGAAGATTATGACAATTTGAAGCTACCACCACGCGGCTCTGTGTTTCTAATTTCAACTGTGCTTTACTGCGAAAACATCGAAGACATTCAGAAAGCCAATTATTCCTAGATTTTCTACTTCCAATGATGCAGGCTTTTGAGCTGCTATAAACCAACCGATGCTTTCACTTCAGTAATCCATTTTGAGTATCTGCAGTCTTCAATCGAAAAAACAGGTTTCCCTTTATGTTGTTAATCATGTAACAAGTCACTAATTTCCTTTAACGACTGCCTTGTTGCGTCCGTTTAGTTACCTTTGTTTATAGCTTATTTACTGGCACTATAGTCTAGTGCAATAGCTATACGATAATTTCAATGGTGTACGATGCCATTTGTGGTCGACGCCAATTTGATTTCGGTGAAAGCAGTGTGAAGATGTATTGACAAATCTATTCAAACCTGCTAGTACGTGTGTCAAATCAATAGAGCCATGAAGCTTTCTTTTCATATATTTTGCTGGTACGCGATTTCTTGCCTTCAGTCATTATCAATAAAACAATACGTGAAGTCTTTCTTTTTGCAAGTTGCTCGTTATTCTCTTATAGAAACCTCGATTTTTGTATTTATGAATCCATACCAGTATAAAAAAATTCATTAACGCCTTAATGCTTGTTGGCTTCCGTCTTTACATGCACACGTCGAAGAAGAACAGCTGACAGGAAATAGTCTCCTAACTTGTCGATACGGCTCAAGAAAAACCCCTTTATTCAAAATTTATTCGAAAATGGCTCCAACTGGGTCATAAAAATACTGTAAACTCGTAGGAATTTTATGATGGTTGAGGCCACAAGTGTACTTCTTGTGTTTTTAATTATCCCTATTCAATATTGAATCCAACGGTTTATCAACCCATAGAGTACTTCACTCGAGCATGAATTCTAAAGACCAAAACTAGAGCACAAATCGTTCCTGAAACTTGTCCGGAAACTTGTCCGGAAACTTGTCCGGAAACTTGTCCTGAAACTTGTCCTGAAACTTGTTTTGAAATCGACGAATACCAAGCTCTGTCCTTGATTAACTGCTTTTTCGACTTGATTAACTGCTATGATTTATTTTTGTACTTTTGCGCATGAGGTTCTCTCTTGGTACATTTTGCGACTCCCTGAATGATATCACTTTGTGTCATTTGTCAGCAATTACGCTCCCGAAAGGGTACAATGAATCTATTCTTAGTTTCAGCATTGCAGTCGGGCCTGGATGTACTTCAAAACCAGAAAACCGGGTAGGCTTCGCCTTCGTCTTTTAACGTGACTCAAGTCGCACGTGTTCAAAGCAAACTTTGTTTCAAAACTCCTGTTTCAAATATTTCTTCAAATTTTTGGCAAATTCTTATGATTGATCTTCCATAAGATCTGATAGGTGCTGTTTGTCCCTTTCACCTTAGTCAAATTAGCCTCTGCAGAACATAAATACTTTCGGTCAAGATTGATAGAGTAAAAGAGTTAGCCGGTAAAAGAGTTATCCTCCGATCTTTGCTTCCTGATATCAATGTACACTCTGACTTTTCCTGTTCATCGGCACTACAATCTTTTTCATCTTGTCTTTTCACTACAAGCTCGGTATCATTTTCGAAAATCTCTTGGATTTGGACGGCGCAAACACATTTCAGCAACTTCCATACTTAGTTTGGTCAACAGGATTAAGACGCCGAATAGAAATTTGCTATTTATTGTTCATTATCAAGAACGCACTCATTTTCATCGCATCCCTTAAACGAATTTTTATCGTCAGCTTGGTATTCTCCGGTGAGATCGAACGCAAATTGAATAACGGTCGCAATGGCAGTTGAAAAATGCTGCGTTGCGGAGTCGCTCATTTGATTTGAGGAAATTATTTTGATTAAACAGAACCTGTTGGTAATGAAGCGAAATCCACTGAAACAGCCTTGCTTCAATGTCTCCTCCAGTTTATAAGACTGCTGCTGTTTCTCGCTGTAAAACTACAAAACTTCGACAGACGGTATCTTCCAAGACTGCACAAATCTTTATACTTTACGTGGCAATTCACTGTTGTTTACAAAGCAAAAGCAGCAAACGGTCAGACCATAGAGAAGTATAATCTTCCTAGTAAATCCAAACTCTTAGAAACCTTATCCTGTGCTCATATCCTCCTCAAACAGCGACATGATCTATACTCTTCTCTCTTATAAATAAATCAAGTAAGGATTTGCTAATAAAACCAGCTGCATCAGTCTGAATCCTTTAACTTTTCAACTACTTTGCTTCGCAGAGCTGACTTGATCGAAAGAAAAACTGTCCTCTGGCTAAAACAACAAACCTTTCCTTTGTTCAAGCAAAACAAAAAACAGCAAACGAATTTTGAGAGACCTTTCAATAGTAATTACATTTTATGTTTGAAGGCATTCAATTTTGTAATCATGTGTACAATTATTCATAAGCATTCAAATACATATTAGCAAAACGTGTAAATTCTGATACCCTGTGCTGTAATCAGACAAGTGATTATATGACGTAGCTTACTGCAGGCCATGGTAGAGAGGGAGCTATAAAATGGTTTTTTTAAGTTACAAGTTCAAGTAACACGAGGTTTCCATGGCAATACTAAAGCGTCATAATGAGGTTGCAGAGATGTAAAAGGAGAGGCCTCTTTGCAATGCTCTGGTGACCAGAGTACCGTGGCAAATGGTTGAAGTTCCTATAAAGGATGTTTTGCATAGTAACACAGTAAACAAGGCCTGTGTTTTGTTATAAAGTTATGATGTATTCTCCACTTTCCATGATCAACTGTAGCCTTACCGCCCTTTTTACTTCGCCACTCTTGACAAAAAACTGCTTGTTCGTCATGTTTCTAGCGGTCATATTTCGTTATACAAATTTTAATTAAAACTGCGCAGTATTTAGAATGATAACCTAGGCAAATAAGAGGTTAAAATAATCATTGTTAACTCAAACAAGTACAAACGTGCTTATATAAACGCTTTTGGAGCAAACAAGAAGCGGGCATGTTTCATTGAAACCGAAGCTATGGTAACACATTTCAATCGAGGCTGTCTACGCTTCTGTAAAAAACACGGCTTCTTTGTATTAGCTTGTTCTATTTATGGGTGACGAAGCACAAAACCAGTGCAACTAAAAGCAAACCGTGGACACCACCCATCTATCTTTATTTCAAACACCGATAACTGCTTTGCTAAAGTTGCTACAGAGGCTACGATAAATTTTCTATTGCAAAGGGCACTTTTGATGATAAAAAACAGCTGAGCAGGACCATGGATACCACCATACTTATAAAAGGATTTTGAACAGTACAATAACTTGTTTGTACTTCAATTGACGTTCTTATTCTTATATTATTCGTAAGATTCTTATTCACCTGTTTCCATAAAAACAAGGTTTATAAATTATCCTCCTTCAGTCAGTTCATTAGCGTCATGGAACAGCGCCTTGATGCAATCTACAGCTTTTCGCTGGTTAAAGAAATCACGTGGCCAAAACTAGGCCCAAAAATAATCACACTTCATCGAGCGTTCCATGACGCACATTCCCTCAAAAAGTTGAGTTTACACACTGTCTGATAAATCATGCAGGGTTTGATAAGGCTAAGTGATAGCATTTGAAACATTTTTCTTATTAATGTTCGAAATAATGTTTGGAACGAAAATTGGCAACAGGTATCGACGCTTTGAAACAGTATTTGATTAAGTTTGAAAACCGTCAACCTGGCGTTCATATTCTCTAGAGTATCTAAACCAACTGCGTGTATCACAAACTGTATTACTTTAAAAGTTTGACAATTCCGGTTGAGTTTTTAAAAACATGCTTTCATAAACAATAATTCTCATATTGTCAACCTTATGAGTAAAATGTTGCATGGTCGTCCTTTCTGTATAAAAAGTAAACTCAAAGCTGGATCTACAAACATTTATTTGAGCACCAAAATTAGCCGTTTTGGGTTGATCGGTACATAAACAGACTAGAGTTTCATTTACATATCAATTAAACATATTTTGTTATCGTTTTCAAAGACAGAGATTGGGCAAACAGAACCAAAGAAGACAATTGCTTAAATATTTACATTAATGGATCGGGGCATCAGATAAAGAAAAATATTATCTTTACTATATTCAGTTGAAATTGTCAGTACAGCTGCTAACAGGCATTTGAAATTGTGACAAAGCACGCAAAAAAGTTTAAATCTTTGAGACCCTTTGACATCCTCCTTCAGTAGCAATCTTTCCTCGAAAAGGTTTTCCAAGAACTTTCCTTAAAAAATAATTTGTCCACTTTTGTTTGTTAAATTCTAGACCCAGCAGAAAATTATCTTTAGCCACAAAAAATAATGAAAAAGATAAAGGCGACTGATCGATTTACCCGCTTGTCCTCTTAACTTAGATCTCGTACATTCAAATAAATACGGTAAGGTATCGTTCCGTACTGGCCTTCCGTTTAAACAGAAACCCTAAGGTGGCCAACCATTTAATACGGCAAGGGTGGCCAACCATTTAACCTGGGGAGGAGACTGTGTGATATTTTGTATCCTGGTGATGTATCCAGGGCAGGCCGGGATGGGTAGGGCAAACATGAAAGCTCGTTTAACATTGCATTAGGCCTAAGGGTCACAAGAAGCCTATAGCCTGGTCGGGTCTGGCCCGGGGGCCGTAAGTTGCTCATCCCTGAAACACTTCACTAATCAACAAAATCTTTAAACGAAAATGGCTTTAAAAATCAAATGTTTTGAAATATAGCTTTTCGTCTGACACTCTTCAGAATTTAAAACATCAGATGGAACCCCTAAAGCTATCAAACATATCCACCCAGTTGTGGATCGAAATAGGCCAATAAGAAACACGAGGACTTGACTTAAAAGTCTCTTATTTGATAAAGCAGCCCCCTGTTTTGGAGACAAAGCGCATGCGCATGGGGTTTGATCAGCATTACGCATGCTCTATGACTCCAGGACGGAGGTTTGCCTAACTCATTAGAAGACTTTCGCTTGTTCGTCTCCCCCACCAAGTACATTCTGATGATGGTATGAAATAACAGTCCATCATCAGAATCTTATAAACGACTGAAATCTAATATGATTTGGATATGGATCCACAAGGAGTCTTCTAATAGTTTTGTTATGGTGATCCCCATATTACACCAAAAGCTCAAATTACACTTATGATAGCCTTCAGTGACTTATGATCCAATTATAGAAAACTTCTTTCTGAAGAATGAAGTAAACTGATCTTGTTACAGAAATTTATGTTCTGTGGTGTTTAATTATTTAAAAGGTTCAATATTTTACAACTAATGGCCTTTAAAGGCACAGATGTTTTTAACCATAACCTATTTCCTAACCTATAAAAATCCAAGCAATAATGAAACCCCAGGTGCCACAAGGTTCAAGTTAAATTTCTAGATTTTTTCTCCTTTTCGACATCTCTTTGTCACCCAATTTAATGTCTTAATGATTCCTAATCTTTAGGAAAAATTAATTCTTGAAATTTTGCAAATCTAAACATAAATTTCTCAATAAAGCCTTTAGGAATATGGATAGGGGACCTTCAGGCAACTTTAGGTATGCTCCTGTCATAAGTGGTTGTCAGAGGGTATTTGGAGACTGTGATGTCCATAATTTTGGGCAACAATCAAATAAAATTGTGATTGATTAATGTTTATCAACACATTTAATTCAACACATTTAAATGGGAGGGATATGCTTAGGAGAATGGTTATTAGCTCTAAGATTTTTAGCAGAAAAGGTTTAGTCAGCAAGAAACTTCTCTGGCCAAAGTATTATTCAAATGATTTTTCTAAAAGTAGGTGGGTTGCTAAAACTATTGGGTAGTGTTTAGTCTTACTTTATACATTAAAAATAGCAGATATTGTTTGGTCTCAATTTTTTTGAAAAGGACTTCACTTAGCAACCCTGAATGGTACTACAGCTGTTGGCATGGCTTCAAAGCCATCAACTGGGTCACGTTCATAAAAATGGACCTTCTTTAAAAATCACTTCACAACTATAGCATATTTTTCAAAAATCAAGAGCTTCCATCAAACAGATAGTGAATAACTCAAATGATATGGATAGATGTTAAAAAATTAAAATTCTCAATATTAGCCACTAAGTTAGGATTTAAAATGACAAAAGGCTGCCATTAACAGTATAAACTTACAATTGTCTTCATATTTCTAGCCAGCAATGACACATTAAAAAGAATTTGTTTCCAATGCAGGAAATCATCAGGTTGTACAATGACTTTCATGAGCATTGATCTCACATGGCCAAATAGTCAAATAGTTATCCAAGACTGGATAGGTTTTCTCCCAAACTTTCCTCAAGTACCCAAAACATTTTCCACCAAGGGTTTTAAAAGTTTTAGACTATACCAAAACATTACTAAGTTGAGAGATTTTTGTTCTATGTCTTGAAACATGTTACTCTAAATGTCAACAGCCTTGCAGACCTGCTTTCAAATTTTATTGCAGTCAAAACCAAGAGAATTGTCAAGCGCACAATCTACATATAAGGCAAGAGCTGCATTGTTGTAAATTTTACACAAGCAAATTTGTCTAATTTAACATGGGTCTACTTGGAATAAAAAGAAGAAACATGGTTTTCTGAACAAGCAGATATTTTTATCTACTTGTATATTTTGTTTGAAGTAAGTAATGTGCTCTTGTGTAAACAACAAATGTACACATAGATAGTTTGTTGGCTGTCAAAAATTTTGTAACACTAAACAAATCTTGTTTAAAGCCCACTTTTCAAAGTTTGATAATATTCCCATTCAAGGGCCTAGCCTTTTGGCCTTCCCTCTTGTGAATGGATGCTATTATTCTTAATGCTGAAATCCTGTGCAATAGCTTTGAAAACCCCACTTTGCATGCTTTGGTATTTCATTTGCTTGGTGGTTCAAATGCATGGATTGGAAACATGAGTATGAGGTAAAGGATTATTACAAAAAGTTGACTGGAAAATTATATCCAAGGGTGGATCAAAAAGAGAAATGTTAAAGAAGAGTGTGATGTTCTTTATAAAGGCCCTGAACTCCCTAGCCTTCCTACACATTTGCATCTAGCCAGACAAAAGTAAAAACCATCCATCAGGATATATGATCGTGTTAAAAACCCAGTTTTATCCACATTATCTTTAGTGACAAACTCCAAGGATAGAAATGAGAGTTGAAACTTAGTTAAAAAACTGGAGCAGTAACTTATTATTCAATATTTTTGCAGATACTGGACAGTGTTCCCTCTCGATAACATCAATGGACATGTAGTTTTGAAAAAAATGTCTTTTCTCAGTAACTATTTGTTTTACTGTAAAACTGATATAACGTTTATTCGCCAAAGTTGTGATTATGGATCTTTACTTTGCACTTTGAAAATGTTCAATTTAGCAGGTGATAACTTGGTTTTGCAAATGTGGAAATATTCATTTTGTGATATAATACCATGAGAATTTGTCATTTTGCCTAACTTTCCAACTCAGCAAGTATGCACTCAGCAAGTGTAACAGTCATAATATTTGTTTTGGAACAATGTATGTGAATTAGTAAACATAGACAAACAAAGATGCTGAAAAATATTTCAAGCCTATTCCAAATTGTAAGCTCTAGTATGGAGCTGACACCAGCAGTGATATTGAAGGGGGCAGAGAGAGATCATAATATTTCTGTTGACATATCTACTTTAATTGCAAATTTAATACTATGCATGTGTCTCATTTGTCATTTCCTATTTGCTAGGTATAGGTCTAGTAGCCTAACCCAATTTGCTATATTTTAGATGCAGATAGATTTCTTCAAGGTGTAGTTGCCTTCTTGGTGAAGTGAATAGTCAAGGCAAACAACACTAAATTATTCTGCAAGGATTAACTTTGGCTATTTTCAGTCAATGCAACATAAAATAATCAATTAAAAATAAAATTGGCAATAATAAAATTTGGAAAGCTAAGAAGGATATCATCAGCCAGTCGTTGGGATGTGACTTGTGATTGTGGGGAATCCTAAAATTTTCCAACAAGAATTCAGATTTTCCGAACAAACAGCCTTATATGGGGGCGACGCGCCCTCCTCCAATGCCCCCATTGGCATCGGCTCTGTCTAGTATATACTCTAAGAAAAGAGTATTTTGAGGCAGTTTGCTCAGTATGAAAGATTGCCATTTGTTGATAAATGAGAAGTAAATAACTGAATAATATTGATTCTAATTTTTCCAAAAGTGCCAAAAGGGGTAGTTTTTTTAATCACACTTGATAAAAAATAATTGTTTAGAGTAAAATTGAACTCATATGCAGGTAATACCCATACAATTACTGATGGATAATTAACAGCTCAGTTGCTGAATAAAAGATGTTTTTTAGAGTCCTCATCCTTCCTTTAACCAAATAGCCAAACTATACATTTTTTAAAAAACCATGATCTGGGTTTCGTTATTTAAAAATTCTTGTATAATTTAAGTTTTTTGACATGTTTGTCAGCTGTGGCATACAGGTAGCTATTTGGGTAAGCTGGTTTGTCAAGATCGGAAACAATCTGCAACATTTAACTTTT